TAAAGAAATGTCTCTTTCGCACTCATTGAATTCAGTACTTAACTTTGTAAACAACTTTGGTTCATAGGAGCGTATCGCGGAGCGCTCCACTCAAGGGTTAGTAGTGCTATACTACGATATTACAGAGAAAGATAAAAATCTAATTGTATTTTATCGTTCATTAATAAAAAAAATAGTGCGGCTACTAGTCTAATATGAAAGCTCGATTAATAATTTTATTTTGGTGGGTTGAATAGGAGTGGGAGTTCACTGCACCAGCGCTCCTTAGGACGAGCCGCCACTGTACCTAATACAAGACGCCACAACTTCGTGAGCTAGTAGACAAGGGTTCTCGAATTTTTAATTTGTTTTGCCGATAAATATTGCGTAGTAAATATACCTAATTATTATATAGGTAATGATAAACTTGGACACGCAATTTCAAATACTTTGGTTAACTTGTATAAAGGCACATGTCCAAAATATAACACTTTAAGTGATTTTAATATATTTTTAAATAAATCTTCAATATTATTCTAGTTAGTGAATTAATGAAAAATATAAATATACCTAATGAACTTTGATGAATCATCAGGTAATATATGACATGACACTCAGATTATAGACCATAATTCACATTCACAAATTATAGACCACATCTAAATGTGAAAACATTTCTGAACCATTGTCAGTTATTTTTCGTCAAGTTTTCATGATTTAGATTTATATTTAGATTTATTTTATTATCTTGTAAACTTTACATTATTATATACAATATATTGTATTACAAGAATCGTTATAAATAGTAATAAATGTTACATTTCAAAAAATTACAAATATCCAGCACAAGTTTTGTACTACGTAATTTTAACATAGTCAATGTAGTTATGTGAAATAATGTAGGAACATATTAAATAATATAATAATAATTATGTCAATATAATGATTGTATGCATAAAGTTTATGTAATTTATTCACTTCTGTAAAATAATATTTATAACTAATAATCTATAAATTACAACTTATATTACAAGACCATGTCCCTATATTCTTCAGTGGAATAATACGCATTATCCAGCAAAAAGTCTTTCAGTCGACGATCAAATGTTTCATCATTAGGCTCATTTTTTAAGTCAACGGGTAGGTGCTCGTAATAAGCCGGGCCGATTACGCGCAGATTTTTTTCAGCGAGTGCTAACCGTCGCGGTACGACCCTCAGTCGTCCTGTGGAGCGGGTGTTATAACGGCTTTCATGCCTTTCAAAGTTGTGTAAGTTTTTTCGTATCAATGTGATTATTCCATATAAATACAACGAATACGTGGTCATTACCCTGTGTCTCACAAATAAGTCCCTACAAGAGACTCTTTGTGTTACTCCGGCAAGTATGCTCATTGCTCGTTTCTGAATAATGAATACCTTGTCAGAATCAGTGGAGTCACCCCATAGAATGGTACCATACGACATTATGGAGTGGAAATATGCAAAATATGTTTGTCGTAGTATGGAATCTGTAACGACAGGTTTTAATTTTTTTAGTGCATAAGTCGCACTACTTAGTCTACCACACAGAATTTATATGACGCTTCCTTTGTAAGTCAATGCGCTTCCACGTTAAATTTTCATCCAGAATGAATCCTAAGAACTTACTATGGTCAGTTATGGGCATTAGACTATCCAAACACGTTGGCCTCGGGATTGATCTACCAGAGAACAATATTAAACTAGATTTTGCAGCATTCAGTATGAGACCATTGGAAGTGAACCATTTCATCAGACTCATATAGACATTTCATATATAGACATGAAACAAGTGATTCGCTTCTTCGCCTTCGAAAAAAAAGATCTTCATTTACTTCACAAGCTCGTCGACGCTATAGGTGTAGTCATATTCAGTCAGTTCAGAAAGTACCTCTTTCATTGTTGAACAAATATATTATATTTCGGGGAGAATTAAGATTTTTATGATGACTGTGTTTTAATATTTCAATCCTTCCAGTGGTCGGATTGACTTGAAATCTAGTAAGTTAATAAAAGTACGATGACAGTATAATAAATCATTAATACTGTGATTGTAGCTAATATCAATTAATATTTGCGTGTAGTAAAACCTTATGCGTATTTGGTAACAAATGTGTGCGTGTAAAAGTCAGCTAGGCTAATTCTCGAAGAAATTGCTTTAAATGAAATGTGTCCTCTATAGATACTCCGTGGTTAACCCTAATTATAGCAAGTATAAAGCAATGCCTAGTTGAATATTCCGCTAGTTATGAAACATAACGTCGATATCAATTAAATGTCACATCCCTATGTGTAGATTGTCAACTTTTTGCCTTTTTGTCGGGCCGCCATCTTGAATCGGCCATTTTGAAAAAATAATTTTGACAGCCAGTTAGATCCTGTCGCCCTCTATAATATTAGTTTGAATACGATCTACCTATCTCCAATAGTTTCCGAGAAACGGGTCCCCGAAGTTTGTATAGCGGCCATGTTGTTTTTCGAATTTTGAATTTTTTTCACTCCCCGTAGGAATTGTCCAGGGTGTGGATAAACATTTATTTGGAGACTTTGAGCCAGGACGCATACTTTGCCCGGGCAGCTGGGATTTCACCTGATGCGGAGCACTTTCCGAAGATTACGGTACCTTTCGATACTCACCCATCCCGCCCAACCGTAATTTCTCTACATCATTTTTACTCTCCCGCCCCCCTTCTGAGAGAAAAATGACTCCAAGGGGCAGAAAATTCACATGTATGGCGGCCATCTTGGAAAATGGCGGAATCCAAATTTCGACTGCATATTCATATTGTGGGCTCCCATACACGGCCGCATGCCAAATTTTAGCCGGATCGGACCACTTTTATAATGGGCTCCCATTTTGAGTTGGCCATCTTGAAAAAATTTTGTCACCGGCAGTTGGCCCCAGCCGCCCTCTATGACATTTGGTCAAGCATCCCCCGCACATCTCCAATACTCGCCGAACTATAAGGCTCTGAAATTTGTACGGCGGCCATCTTGTTTCGAATTGAATTTCGAATTTTTTTCACTTCGGGTAGAAACTACCAAGGACTTATTATTATTATTATTATTTATTATTATTACCAGTCACCTAAAAGCTAAGAATCCTATGAACATAAACTTCTTGGAATAAAAGCATAAGTGCCGAGGCCATAGGTCGAGGTCTAGCGGAGGGCGAAGCCTGAAGCGTCAGCACGCCGCCTTACGTAGGTTAGTATACGGGGACTAGATTTCACAATTGTTCAAAATGTAAGGCATACTTCCCTAGTGGAAATAATATCTTATTTACTTATACAACTTATAGCGTTGTTGTATCTCGACCGTCTCTCTGTATCTAACAGAATCCAATCTAAAGAATCCTTTTTCATCATGTCATCATTCATGATTCTATGCTAATTTTGGATACTCACATAGATGCTATTGTTTCTCAGGCTATTAAGGCACTTGGATTCACAATGCAGAATTCAGTCTGTTTCTCAAGACCTAAATTTCTTCAAATACTGTATTATGCGTATATCCGTAGTAAATTGAAATATGCCTCCCAAATTTGCGATGTCGATTTTTCGAATTACTGAGTAGTATTGCGTTTAATATACCTACGCGTTCCATGAGATACTACCGTCCTGTTGCAGTTCCCCTGGCGAGGACTAAATATAGACAAAATTGTTTTCTTTATAAGGCTTGCAAGAGTTTGAACGCTGTGCAGAGCAGAAGCGAACTTACATGACATATTCAATTCTAATTCGCACTCATTAAAGCGTGAACTTGTGGGCGCGTTTGTTTAGTGGGCAATCATTTCGTGACACAGGTATTAGAATATACCTATATGATTTACATTACATATATATTATATTCTATATCAAAGACAACATATTTCTTTCTTCCCTGTTCTATATATTTTATTTATATTTTAACTGTATTTGTTACATATTAATTTTATTTGCTGTTACCACTTGCTAAGTGCTCGTTGTTATTAGTCATTATGTTACTATAAGCGAAAACCTTTAATTGGCTGTAATACATTTGTTGATGTTTTTTAATTTGTTGTAAAGCTGTTGGTTTTCCACGAATAAATAAAATAAATACATAAATAGAAAATATCCCGAATTTTTTGCATTCGAACATTTTGCAAAATATATTGAATTATCAATCTAAAAGGTCATATAAAATTATTCTTCGTTTAGTCATGGACCTTACCCTGCACATTTTAGAGTTTTTAATTAACAAACGTCAAATCGTAACGTAAGCGCTCTCTTCATGAGACAAAAATAATTAACAAGTAACCCACGAGACTATCTACGAGTACTACGCCGTCCAAGTTGTCAATAAAGCTGATAAAATTATGAAGTGCGAAATAGATACTTAAATGTTATTTTGTTCAGCACTTAGAGTTGTATACCATACATCATTAAACTGCGACAGTACCTAAATTCAACGTACCTATGTAGCAATTTCTACATCTCAAATGTTTTCATTTATAATCGCATACATTGCAGAGCTAATAATGCGAGGTAAAAATGTAAGATGATGTACAGTCAATAACACGTCAACCTGGACACTTTAAACCATTGTTTATCGTAAGCAGCATAGAGTTGAATTTAAATCTTAAGTGTCAAGTACTGATATAAAAAATGTTTTAGTTCTTATTTAAATGGCAACGTTTGGACACTTTAAAAAATCTGCCCACAAACGAAACTTATTTATTCATATACAGTCAACAAATCAGGTTCCTAAACAAACAAAAATTAATATAACGACATATATAATATAATTATATTATATTTATATACAGCTGTTACGAGATATTACAGTTCAAAGTTTATTAATTTTCCCAAAGCACTTATCAAATATGTAAAATTACTTTGAGAGCATTGATGCAAATAATCATTAGTAAGGCAGCTCAGCTCTAAATCGTAACCATTTCAAGTATTTTAGCAAAATGATATTGTAGTTTGTGTATATTCTTTATATTCGATAAATAAAATAAAACAAGAAACACAGCTAAACTTAATTTATTGATAATTACCATAACAATACAGTAGTTCACCTATGACAAGAAACATGTACCTGCTTAATTTTAGTTATAGGATTCAAGGTAAGCAATAATGTCTTTGAGGTTTCTGTTCATGAAGTCGATTACGTCTTGGATGGATCTACGGATGTTGATTTCTACAATTTTAATGATAATATTGTCGAAGATTGAGGTGAATACTGCAATCACCGGGTTCACCAACCAGTCGGTCAGAATATTGCCAGTTAAACGCACGCGCAGACGGCTGGAATGATAAGTTTACATAAATTAGAATCAAAAAATCTGCATACAGCCCTAGGCGCCCATCTACTTCTAATACAGCTTTAAGTAGCATTGGTTGTGGATGCTGCTGTGTTCTGGCATGAAGAGCAAGCACAATCGCCGCAGAAACTTATGTCCCACTCGTAATGGTGAAGAATACTACATTCTATATACAGCACAATTAGTTTAATAATAAAATTAATTAGCACAGAATAGCACATTCTACATACAGTTCGGTCGATATAGACAAAAATTTAAACGTACCCAATGTCAGTGAGGGAGAACCGCTGGAGTTGAATCTCGTCGTTATTGAAGTCGAGCAGTACATCTGTGATGACGACAAAGCGGTTGAGTGTGGCGACTATACCGCCCGTGGGCCCGATGTTCATAACTTTTACCAAGTAGCGGTAGTCGAACTGTTGGAAGGACATACAATCGTTATTAAAAAAATTTACATTCCTTATTAAGAATTACATAACGACGCATGCGTGTTGCATACACTGAATATTTTAAAACCGTTTAATTAACTTGTAAACAGTTACATATTGTCTAAGTGTAGTTTTATTTTTGTGTAAAGTCCCGTAGAGTTCTCTCGTTGTTGAGGGTGAATATGTATAATTATATATAATAATATGATATACATATTGGGTGAATGCAGGTCAAGAATATAATATGTCTTCGAAGAGCTTTATGGACCTTTTCCGTTATACAAACGCGCCTATTACGATGTTTTCTTAGCCGTGGTGGATATGCGAAAATGCACGTGACAGTTAGAAAACTAAAATTGATACCTACCATTTAAATGAAGACATGCAATAGTACGTTGGATGTCACATACCCTCAAGTCGCGGAACTGCAATTCCACTCGGACACGGAGCATCCTCGAGAAGTAGTTCACCATCTGGTCACCTGAACGAGAGACGCTGCTGAGACCAGTCATTCGACCTTGAGTGATCCTCAGCCACGCGCTGTATTTGATCAATACCGGCCTCTGAAATCGGAATCAGGAGGTTCACATAGAGAAATTCGAAAAACATGCTGACTCAGTTTGAAACTCGGTCTGTTGCTCCGGTACCTATCTGGACAACAAGGAAGGTGATGTAGGTGCATCTGGGGGCGCTACCCAAGAAACCACGCCTTTTGAGAACCGGATGAAATCTATGTGAACGGGCTGATCTGGGGTCGGACCTAACTGATAAGGTCCCTGATGTACAGGATTGCTTGAACAGGTAATAGTGCCCTTCCCGTTTAACCAATAGGATGGGTAGGGAAGGCACTATAATTAAACTTAATATGCAGAAGATATGGGTCTGTAGCTCAGTTGATAAGAGCGGTGGCCCCGGTGTGGCAATAAACGCTGGTTCGAGTCCAATCAGATCGAAATAATTTTTTCTGTGTGTTGTTAGACATTTGTATCAATAATAATACTGTACGTATTAAGCAGGTTCATATATTGTCCGTCAATTAATATTTTATATAAATTATTTATTAACTGATCAGTCGCACAAGGAGCGAGTGAGCCCACCTGACTATAAAAATTGCTTTGGATATTGCGCTTCTCAAAATTACAAGCAATGATTACTAACTACTTCGAAGCCCTCTTCTATATCAGGTAGTGCCATGGGGTCGAGTCCGTACGCTTGCATCAAAGGCACCACCATGTGAATCGTTTCGTCCACATACTTATTCACGTCCGCAGTTAAACCCAATCCGTCCCAATTCCCACTGCAAAGATAGTTTTTAGTAGTTCAGTCAACTGTTTAAAAGCAAATGAAAGAAGTAAACACTTCAAGTTAATTGTTTACAAATAGAAAAAAAATATTGACCAATTTCTATAATCTTCAAAAACTGTATAACCATCTTAATATAAGTAGAACGTTCTTAATACCACGTCTTTTTACTTCGACTGTTAAATAAATCGATGTAAGTAAATATAATTAAAAAAACATCCAGCCCAGTCAATCAGCGAGTAAATTGAATTAGTCAGTTCGGCCGTTTTGTCTACAAATTTAATGAGTAGGTACTTAACGCGTAATCTCATTCTCTAGTTACGTTTTATATAATTATGGTTTAAATTAACACCGTTCACTAGTGAACTCTACTTACCTCTCGGAGAGTGCCCATGAAGCAACCTTCTGGATGCCATTATTGGCTTCAGCGGCCAGCACAAGTACTGACAAAATCAACGCTATGTACTTTTTACCGACCATTGTTCCACTATACAAATAGCTATTGAACCGAATTTGTCTGTCGAATCTTTATTTTATACGAATGTCAACCTAGCGATCAAATTGTTACAGGGCGATTATGATAATATGTGCTAAAATTATTTATTGTATCAGTAATTTGATTACTGATTGCATACTACAGGTGCTTAGTACGTACTATATATTTTTTTGTTGTGTATCTATTCACACACTCATGGACGTATTTAGAAGAACGCTAAAAAATTTTAAATTATGGTTCCAATATTCATGTGAACCACGGTTCACATATTTCGGCAGGCAGCAACCGACTCGGTGTAAACAGCGTGTCTACTGCGCCTGTGTAAACACACCATAATCCGCACAAGCCAGATATATCAGGGGGCGCAATTTAATTTATTTATAGAAAGAAAGATATTAGACATATACTAGAAGGCATTTTATTATTTGAAAAAATCTTTAATAATAATAATAATAATAATAATAATTTATTGCACTAAAAAGCCTTAAATTAAGTAAAGTACAGTTTTGGGAAAGTTATATAAGTACAAAGTATAACACGTTAGTTGAGATAAGGCCAATTACATACAGAGTATACTGCCGCTGACTAAAATAGAATTCTCTGAGCTTTAGTCAGCAGCTACAGAAGGAAGGTACAAATATATCGAGTAGGTATTTAAGTTTAGAGGAAGCTATCCGTACTTATGTGGTAAAAAATTTAGTGCTAGGTATACAATAAAATATTTTAAACATAAAGTCCTATAAATGGTAATAAAAAGTATATAGTATTAAAAATTTAAATAATTATAGCAATGGTAACATCTTAGTGTCTTATGAATGTATACATATGATAATATGATCCATAAGTGGGCATAAATGTGTGTGAGTGAGTGAGTGTGCGTGTGTATGAGAGAGAGAGTGAGAGTGTGTGAGAGAGTGAGGGATGAAGAGTGAGTGTGTGTGAGTGAGTGTGTAATGAACTGAGTGAGAGTGAAATGCTATCGACTGAGTGAAAATCGGCGCTTCACCCGGGTGGTTGAAGGAGAGCTTCTGTTTCTTCGTAGTTAAGGTTCTGCAGCCATGTAGACACTGTCCTTTTAAATATGTTTTTGGGTAGAGAGTGTATGTCTAATTTCCGATGAATGGAATTATAAAGGTATGGCCCAAGGAAACCAAAAAATCTTTGGGCGAACCTGGTGTTACAATGGTATGGTTTGGCGACCAAGTGGTTTCTTCGTGTGTTATCGACAGAGTAAGGGGTTTTACAATGCTGTAGGAGAACAGTACCAGCAATGTACAGCTGGCGGACCGTGAGGACTTCGCAATATTGATAGAGGGAATGCGTGGGGAATCGCCTATGATTGAAAGTACATACTTTCAGTGATGCCCGCTGTGCTCGCTCTAGAGCCATAATGTGGGTTTTACTGGCACCACCCCAAGTAGTGATACAGTAGATCAGTACTGATTGGCAGAGGGCAAGGTAAATCCGTTTGAGGACGGGAGGGTCTGCGACGTGTCGAAGATGTTTGAACACGAAGATTAACTTACGAACTCGGTTAGCTAGTAGATTAATATATGGTTTAAATGACAATTTGCAATCCAACACGATGCCCAGGTATTTAATTTCGGTGGCTTTCTCTAGTTGAGGGCAAGAACAGGGTAGCTTGGAACATTGAGGAGAGTGAGCGGTAATAATATGCTTGATGGGATCTGGGAGGTAACGGTTACTTATTGAGAAGGTTATATATTTTGTTTTAGAAGTGTTAAGAGTGAGCAGATTATATTTCAACCACTTTGAGACTGCATCCAGACCGTCCTGCGCAGATGTGAATACCTCGTCCCAGGTATTTCCAGAGAAGTATAGACCGGTGTCGTCGGCAAATGCAGTTAGATGGCCCCCGGGAATTGACAACCCGCACAGGTCGTTCACGTAGACTAGAAACAAGGTAGGTCCCAGAATACTTCCCTGGGGAACTCCGTAGGTGATGGAAATGTCATCACTAGTGTGATTATCCATGATAACACGTTGGGTTCTGTTGGTGAGATAACTTTGGAAAAGATAAAGTTGAGTACTGCGTATGCCCAATGACTCTAGTTTGGATAATAAAATTGGATGTGATACAGTATCGAAAGCTTTTTTCAAATCAAGAAAAATGGCTAAACATTTCTTTCTATTATCAAGGTCCTGGACAATCATGTTGGTAAAATTGAGAACTGCATGAGCAGTGGATCTTCCTACCCGGAAACCATATTGATTATCGCTCAAAAGACCATTACTTTCTAAATAGTTTGTTAGCCGATGGTTGAGTAACCTTTCGAGAATCTTAGATAGGGCGGGTAGCACTGAAATAGGGCGGTAATTATTAACTTCTTTACGGTCTCCAGTTTTGTATATCGGGTGAATAAGAGCTATTTTAAAGGATCTTGGAAACACACCTGTGGAAAGCGACATGTTGCATATGTGAGTTAAGGGAGGGGCTATTAAGTTTCTGTAGTTTTTAATAAATTTTGTAGAAATACCATCCCAACCTACTGCACAATCATTTTTCAACGATGTAATCACACTAAGAACCTCCTGTTCGTCGGTTGGTAGAAGTGCAAAAGAGTATGGGTTTGGCGGGAGAGGTATAGGTTGAAAATTGTTACAAGAATTCATATTTTCCGCCAGAGTTCTCCCGACCGTACCAAAGAAGGTATTAATGTGATTTAGAGATTCCAGAGGCTTGGGTTTAGTAAGAAGGAGGTCACCGACATTGCACTTACTTTTATTCAGATGAGCAATATCTTTTATTGCCAACCAGAGTTTTTTATTGTCGGATCCCGCTTCAAGAAGTTTAGTCTTTTCATATGATCTTTTGATTGACTTTAGTAAGTTATTGCAGAAATTCCTATAACGCTTATAGGTTGTTATGAGAGTTAAATTATTAGGAGTTTTTTTTTAATTTCTTATGCATATTGTTTCTGTTTCTTATGCAGCGCAAGAGACCTGGAGTGATCCAAGGCTTAATAGGTCTGAGGCGGTGGGGTACAGTTATGGGGATAGAATTACTAAGGATAGCGCGTCGTAATAGGTTAATCAAAGAATCAGCAGCCGAATTCACGTCAGGAGCATTGAAAACAGGCGAAAAATCACAGTGGTTTATATCCTTTCCAAGTTGTATATAATTAATTTTTGTTATTTGTTTTCTCGCAGTTTTTGACAACTTCTTGTCTATTGACATTAAGACAGAGTTATGATCTGTGACAGTCGAGTTAATTATTAACGTTGTTGAAGAGTATTTGGTTCTTATAAATATGTGATCAAGGCAGGTGGCACCATGTGTGGGAAAATTGTGCGCTGGTAGAAGGCCATGAGAAGCTAACAAGTTTAAGTAACTGTCCGAGTTCGGATCTCTGTTGTTGGCTGTGATATCTATATTTATGTCGCCTGTTACAATTATGGTTTTATTTGATGGTAGCACGGAAAGAACTTCATTTAGAGATTCCATAAATGGACCCAAGTTAATAAAAGAGGGTGGGCGGTAGATAGCCAAAATAGCTATGTCAGATCCAATATCCAAAAGGAGACAACTGGCTTCATTAAACTTGGGCTCGCCAGCTGTCACGGCCGGAATGCGGCTGCTGACATAGACTACAACTCCATCATTTTGGTTTATAGGATTGGAAGTCGTAAAACTGGTATAGTTTGTTAATGGTACAATAATGGGGTTGTGCTGCAGCCAGCACTCGGTTAAGATAATAACGTCACATGGGAGTACAATGGTATGAAGAAGTGCCTGAAAATGTGATATGTTAAAACGTTCTAGTTTATGTGGCCAGTCATATTCACATTATCTTAATTCAACCTTTATTAGCACCCCTTTAAATATGTCTACGAGCATAGTTAGTTATATAAATCAAATCGCTCCCAGCGAATATCATGACTTCGAAGAACGAAAGTCATGAGTTGTGACTGCATTGAAATTGTACGTAGAAAGCTGAGGGAACATAATATGTCCATTGAATATGCAGAATTATTAGAACACTGCCTAACATCAGGCTATCTATTGTGGAATAATGAATTCTACCTACAAATTGACGGTATAGCAATGGGCTCCCCGGTATCTCCCGTTATGGCCGATATTTTCATGGAAGACTTCGAGGAGCGAGTTTTACCCATGGCCTCAGCTAGGGCGAAGATTTTCAAACGGTACGATGATACTTTCACAATATTACCTAAAGATAGCATTCCTTATTTCTTGGACCATCTTAATTCTTTTAGTACTAAGATCCAATTTACTGTGGAACAAGAGAATTGTGGTACTTTAGCTTTCTTAGATGTTTTAATTAAAAGAAATCCTAATAACACCTTAGGCCATACTGTATTTCGAAAGAAAACCCATACAGATAGGTATCTCAATGGTAATTCCCATCACCATCCTAGCCAGTTAGCTACCGTGGGCAAATCTTTGTTTCAGAGAGCATATGGTGTCTGCGACAGTAATCATCTGGCGGGGGAACTTCAGCATATAAAGCAAGTCCTACATGCGAATAAGTTGAGGATTCCACGCCAATGCCGCAGACCCCGTGTGAAACCACCAACAGTCGAGCGAAGACCTGCCATCTTACCTTACGTGAGAGGTGTTACAGACAAGATCGGAAGAGTCCTCAGGCGCGCATCTATCAAGACCTGTTTCAAGCCCTTGAGGAAGATTTCTCAGTTCCTGAGACCCGTGAAATGTAACATCCCCTTACAGGATGCAGGAGTTTACAAGCTTGACTGTGAGTGCGGTCTCTCTTATATTGGACAAACAAAGCGAAGAATTTGTACCCGCGTCAAAGAACATATGGCTGATGTCAAACACCGTCGCGTAAACAAGTCTGCAGTCTGCGAGCATGTCATGGATAAACCTACACATTGAATGAAGTTTGACAAACCCCAGGTCCTTGCAAAAGAAATTTTGATTTTGATTGAATTGATTGATTGATGATTGAAATTAAAAAACATCCTAATTTCAACAGGGAAGATGGTTTCTCCGTACCACTAGTTTGGGATCCATTATTTCCTCTAATGAAAAATCCCAAACAGACATAAGACTGCAGTACTAATTAATATGTTTTAGTTTATTATAATTTCTATTAATAATTAATAATAAATTGAACTTAATAAAAATTCATTCAATACAAGAATTTGTAAAACTTAATATAGCGTAAATTGGAATGTTTTCTTTGTAAAATTAAAAATAAGGTATTTAATTAATAACTATTGTAACGATAGTGAAAAAATAGGGTGGTTTGCATCAATATCAGACATAACTGGTTGAAGACTGTACCACCTCAGTCAACCGTGACCACGGGACCTGTAAAGGGCTCGAAACGTCGGTTTGTTTGAAAAAACAAATATACGCGATTTAAATCCGGAAAAATAGTTTCATTTATAATATTTTTTCTTATTCATTCCGGAAACTTATAGTGCGCTCCACGTACATATATTAAATTTGGTACTTACATATACCACTGTCCACGACCATTTATTAGAAGAAACTCGTGTTCAACGGTGAGATGTACATACATACAAGGATTAAGGTTTAGTGACAGCGACTCATGCACACTACGAGGAATATTAACACGCAGCAGTACCTACGAACGCACACACTACACATAGAAATATTTTTGTACGACGAATGAGTGGTATACGGAAAAATTTACTTAAGTTTATGTTATACTGGCATATTTTGCTTCTATTGCTTTTAAAATGTAATAATTAAATAAATAAATACAAACTTGAGAAGGTTAATCCTTGTTGTTTGAGGTGCATTTGCAATTTTATATATCTATTGTATAATAATAATGACATCTGTGCACTGAATAGTACTAGACACATAATTTGGTATATTTTTTTAAGATAGCAAGTGACGGGATGAACAAGTCGTGCGCCTGGTGGTAAGCGACACGCCTGTCCATAGCAGTTGCAGTGTCACTCAAATCTTAATATCGTAATAATCAGAGGGGCACTGCGCTCGTCATCCTGAGTCATAAGTTGACGAGCCCCATTGTGCCTGTAATTTCGCCAGAACCCTTACCCTTCAAAACCAGATAGGTATACCTACGGAAATATAAAAAAAACTTATAAGTGAAGCTTATTTCTATTTTTCTTTCTCGTTCTGAGCATTTCAGCTTGAACATTTAAAATAACGATAATAAATGTTATTATAATAAATCACGAATTTGAACAGTAATTACTGGTAAACACAGAGATATATGTATTAACTAATTCCAACAAATAAATATTTTTACATATCTCTTATCAACATATCCATCACTATTATCCTGCTTATTAATTTAATCGCCAATCAGATCTTATTGTTTTCAATAGCACTGCCCACAATAGAAATATATGGCGATTTATAAAGAATACAGGTGTTTTTTTTTATTGAATACAGTACCTTTTCATCGATTAGAGTAAGCCGTCTGATGATATTGCACCAGTTAATGACGTCACTGCCGATCTAGATCGTATAGCGGTGTGGTCTGAAAGAAACTGTCCATGTATTGTATCTGAGTAAATCGAAGTACCTACTTGGAACAAAAGGACCAGTCCATCCATTTTTGATTTTCTTGTTGCTTCATTTTTTTTTTCTTGTGTAGTGTTATTTGTGCTAAGCAAATAGGTAAACGTAATTCCTTTCCTTCCTGATAATTATTTCCGATTTACGTACCTACTTAAGAGCTTTTGGATTTACATAAAACGCTTTAATCATATTTAATAATAATAATTAAATTTTATAAATCTGTAGTAGGTAGTCAAAGAGTGTGTTGGCTCCCTGAAATGCGAACGCTTAGGGTTTACGTCACTCAAATAATGGGTTCTATCATGGTTCTATCTAACAGGTAATATTTTACAATAACATGCGAAGTCCCACTTATACATGGTGGAAAAAAATCATCAATCAAAAAATAGTAGGTACATGAAGGAGAACTACATGAAATGTTTAATAGCTAATTTAACTTAAAGGAAACATTATTTTATTTTTTTCAATACAAATAACTGCATTCACGGATTTTGCGAAAAACTTACCTTAGCCGGGAATCGACCAACTAAAAATTGCAAAAAAAACTATTGTACTAATCGATAGGATGAATGACAAGAGTAAAATCCCCACAAGAAACATTACGTTTTACAATTACATATCTAATATATCATCATCATAATATCTATGAAACAATAGAATATCTACTATTATTATTACGCTTAAGGTAAGCACCTTAATGATAATTTCAATGTCTGTATAGGTACAAATGGGTAAATTAGAGGGTCTGCAAGATCTCCAGAACTTACGGGTCTCGATTTTACGGGGCAACGTCAATTTAACTTTACATATAGTCTTACGAGACTGTAGAAGAGTAAAGGATTTAGGTAAAAAGAATATTATGAGCATTGATTACAAAACATTTTTGTAATCTGAGTTAGCATTCACCATTCATTATCCACAATAAATCTTAAGTATTTAAGGTAGTTTCCCTTCATGTCGCAATGATTTTTTGCACTCTGTATAATATATAAGAGTATTTCTAGGTGATCTTGGTGGCACAAGATAATCTCAAAATGTTTTCATCTGTTTTCCTAGTGTTTAGTATGTTAGGCCCTTATTACCTGTGATGGTGAATATACTTCAACATATAGAGCCAAAACCAGACAAATCTGGCTGTTTTATTCTCATCCTACTCAGTCTTTTGGCGCAGAGTAAAATAAATTAAGGTTTAAATTCAACTATATGTCGCTTACAATAAGAACGGTCAAATTAATTTATGAACGATTTATAGTGTCTAGTGTGATGTGCACTTGCGTGTACTGACCTTTCTTATCATAACTAACCATAAAGGATGAAAAAAAAAGTAACTAACGCCCTTACATTTTGGTAACCTTCAAGATTCATAGATTTCTCATAGATACGACTAAAAAGTCGTTGAAAAACCAAATACAAAAGATCCGACAACTACTTAGAAAAATTCTTGAGGTCCGCTGGTTCGCTCCGTTGCTTTAGTTGGCATAGGGTCTGGCACGGTCCCCCCGAAGGGGTTCCCGCCTTGTCGTGGTGGGGGGCTCTAGTAGCCGTGGTCGATTTCATCCCACGGTGAAGCTAAGAGGAACCCACGGGGCCGGCCGATGGTGGTAGGCTGGCCCGAGGAGAAGGGCGTTCCGCGCGGGGCTCGTCTGGTCAGCGGGACCGCGCGGATGCGCGTTGGGAGGAGGGTCGCGGGGAGAGAGACGTGTCGGTGTGTCGTTGCCGCTCGTCTTGTCCTCCGCGACTCTGGCGGGGCTGCACCGCTTTCGACGATGCAGTGGCGGCGGGGCCGCGGGGGAAGAGACGTCTCGGTGTGTCGTTGCCGCTCGTCCTATCCTCCGCGGCCAAATGTTGGGCGGTTGGCCCGTGGTGGGCGCTTCAAGGGACTCCCTTCGGAGAGTCCGCGTGGTTCAGCCCAGTCCCACATAACCCCGGCCCTGCCCCCGCGGGGCCGGGGTATCTGTAAGCAGATTCCCCCGGATTAACAAAAAAAAAGGGTCTGCCACGGTTTGCTTGGAACAACGTCGTTAAGAGGAACATCGGTCGGTTCGAATCCTGCCGAATCGTAGGATTTTTTTTAAGTGTTCGATCTTTGTATTAATAAATTATAACAAAACTAGTGACACAAAAAATATCGATTACGTTGTGTAGTACGCGATAAGGAGGACAGTGAAGGTATCGTAGAAATGTCTAATCCCTTTGTATATTATCAAAACAAATTTTTACTGCAAAAATGTTTATTATATTGTCCACAACCCGATCTAATATTAACTTAAATAAATACCACCTCACCATAAAAATGTTCTTACATAGGCAACACAAAAACAATTATTACAATGTAATTCGAAAAATTATATTTTACAATTAGTTTTTAATTAAACGATGTACAACCCGTTTTACCTCTAACATACAGAAAAAGCTTTGTGATCAATTAGCATCAGTCTATGAGTATGCTTAATAAATAAATACGCAAATGATAAAAACTATTATTTGATTTTCAAATTATACAGTATACGGTTATCTGTAAAATGCTAACAACCTCAGTAGTTTATTACTAACTTCATAAACAACAACTTTGGTTCAGTGACTTTTTAATTGTATAATTTATAAGTTTTATTTTCAGACATAAATCAAAATATTTAAATAGATCGCTCTAAACGGTGATAACTCTGTGCGGTAGCAAAAGAGTGCGCTAGCGTAAAAACCTGTCCGATGCAAACGCAGGAGCGGGGTCGGAGTTTCTCGGAGAGAACACTTGCACGGTTAAACTTACTACATTACTATCAAGTACCTAAAGATCTAGTGACAGATAGTAGTATAACAAAAACTTATAATAATCCTTTTTTGGTAAATTCATTGTTTTAACCGACTTCAAAAAAGGAAGAAGTTATCGTCTGTATTTTTTTATTTGTGAACCGATTTTGATGATTCTTTTTTGTTGGAAAGAGAGTACCAATACTGAGAGTATTGGTCCCATTTAAATTTGAAGAAAATATTCCACCTCTAAGGGTGGCAAACTAGGGGATGAATTCGGTTTCGCGCACTTTCCGGTAACCGATTTCAATAAAACCTGGCAAGTAGATGTAATTCCACGAACTTCAGAGGTCGTTTTTTTTATACTCAGTACTGAGATTATGCAAAAAGTGATGGAACAAAGTAGTTGTTCATAATGTTAGTAATATAGTCCCGCGTGGTTGTTAGTATGTTACAAATAACCCTGAATACAGTTTCTCGTAGTACAGAAACAAAACGGAAAAAAGCAATTAATAAACTATTTACTTATGTCAATTAATTGGCAGTGAGAAATAAAAATTATAGAGATTTCAGGAAATAAGAAGGTTAAAGTAAAAATATAGTTAAGACTAACATTAGTGTGTCTTTTTAGCATCTTTGCCCAACATTTTCCTTCTCTGTGTCAGCATATGGCCAAAAAGAACAGGAAACAGTGGTATGTATAGGAGCATATAGAAAATGAGGAAGTAATAATAATTGAATGCGAAGTTCCACGAGTTCGGCATTGAAATAGTGAACAATTTCTTCTCATTAATTTCGGGGAGTGCATGGTACATGCATAGGAGCTCGCCGGTTATGCCAACTGGGTATAAGACGAGGAATGTTGAGTACCTGTAATATAAGAAATATGGTAAAACGTATTTGTTACTTAAAGTATTTTAGTATCTCTAGAAGAACAACATTTTTTTTTTCAAATACTTAATTTATGTTTGGCCATCGGGTCGTCGATTCCACACAGTCTAAAAACAAAGACATTCAACCAGTGCGTTCTACCAGATGGATAAGCAATAAAGTGTCAACTCACAAAAACTCGAAATATGCGATTTTAATGCCAAATTTTGCTTGTCGTCTCGTCTACATTTACAAACATAAAGTAATTGATTTGAAACCTCCGAATATTGAAAAATGAAACCCTGGACGCTAACTTGCATTACATGACTCTAATTTAATTTGATATATAGAACAGCTGAAACTTAATACTTTTCTATATCACAAATAAAATTACAGCTACCATTTTGTTATTTTTTTTTTATTACTTTAAATCACTCTCCTGTAATATCTTCCAAAAGCACGTTAGACGTTTTACCTTTCCAGGGTCGAAAAAAAACAGTTGACATAAATCCTTTAACTAAACCACGAAAAAAGTAATTAGGCGTCATTTTCTCAAAACTATGACAATGTATTGTACTAATAATCCTCAAATCCGCAGAGTTCATTTGGCTTCACTGGGAATCCGACCTTAATTAATATGGGAATGTATTACCATTTTGGGGTTATCTGATTTGGTTTCTCCGGAAATCAGACCCTTTCAGAAAGACATATCGACTGTGAACTGACAACCGGTACTATCTCAATTTTGACAACTTTGCAGGATGAAGAACAAATCATTTATACAGCATCTGGTTTATGAAATAAAAATACGTAGTGCACATACATACATGTATAATAAAAATATTTAAAACCCGTAGTTTTAGTTTAATTTTTATTTAATAAACCGTTGCTATGTAAATGACGCAAACAATTATTTTCTTCACCTGTAAAGTCAATGATGTTATATTGTAAAGTTGTCAAAATTGAGATAGTACCGATTGCCAGTTCACAGTCGATATGCATATCGAGTAGTAGTCCTTAGGTTTTCGCGATTCTTACATATTATAGAAAATGAAACTATTTTTTCGGAACTAAATCGAGTATGTTTATTTGTTTTTCAAACAAATCCACGTTTCGAGCCCTTTACAGCCATGTCATACCATGGTCCCGTGGACACGGTCCGAAATTTGGTTTGATTGAAAAAAACAAATATACACGATTTAGATGGCACAACGGGAAAGGCCCGAGAGAGGCGTAATGGTGACCGACCGGTTTTGGCGAATTGTGGAATGCATGACACGATGATAGAATATGAGCTTCGACGTACTAATTGGTTTAACTGTTTTTAATTAAATACCCACTTATTGTTTTAGATTAATTATTAGTGTAGCTTAATTTTTTAGTACATAAAAATTTTGTTTGATAATGCTGTTGAAATGTTGTTAAATAAATTGATTTAAAATTTAAAAAATAATATATTATTATTTTATTATTATAATAAATCCGAAAGAACAGTTCATTTCCTGATATATACATACCTTAAAAACAATAATCCCTGAGGCACAGTGTTAACAATATTGAGGGCATAGTAAGCGTATCGAATGATCTCAGTAATGGACCAGGCGAGGATGCAAAGTGGTAAGCCAGGGCTGACCGTCGCGCCGTATGTAGCGAGTAGGGCACCGCAGACCAGAAATACACGCGAGTATACTTGCATTAGTACTACCACCACTCCTGATGGTACTAGACCTATAGCGGCGTGTAAGACCTGGAACGAAATGTTTAATTTACAATCTTCTTCATCAACTTTGACTCGCAAGCGGCTTAAAGTTGAATTCAAGTCTTTAGAGACCACATTTATCTACATGGAATCACCTTGAGCCGGTCAGAAAAACCTTTGTGTTCATACAATAAGAGCGAAAAAGACGCTGCGCGTTTAGCTTCCGCTGGGATCGCCGACGCGAAACGCACGTCATTTTCGGTCTTATTACACAGACAAAGATTTTTCTGACCGGCTTAATGCGATAATTGTGGTTACTCCCTAACCCGTTCATGGACAGTAAGGTTACGGTTCCACCAAAGCTGTGCGAAAAAGTTAGGCGATGCAACGATGTGTAGCGAAGCTGTTAAACGGAATGTAGCGGTGCGAGGATGAGTAGCGGACTCTTTTCAGCTGTGCGCGGGTGGGGTGCAGTGTGGTGGGGTGAGCGGAAATGGCGGCGAGCTCGCATCCTTCGCACACATTCCTCGCAAACATCTCTCGCTTGTATCTCCGCTAACCCTTTTCCACTAGAGCTGAGCTAAGCGGGGCTAGGAAAATGAAGTAAATAATTTTTAGCTCGCACACCGCCTAGCTGCCTAGCAGATCTCTGGTGGAAACGCAGGCTGCGGCGTTTATCGTACAATGAAATATCAGAATGTAATAATAGGTTCCTATAAACTAAATCTATCACAGGTTCATTTTCCTGAACAAAATTACAAATTAAATGTTAAATTTCATGGTCTTCCTTTTATTTAAGATGCCATGTAATTTAGAAGAAAACGATTCTTATGATTAAAGCTTTTGATCAGTATAGTGAAATTACAAGTGTTTTTTTTTTTCACGTTTAGCGGGTTCGATTCCCGGTTCAGACTGGCGATTATTTAAAAATCTTTGAATTGCAGTTTGAAATGTCTTTAAAATTAAAATGAAGTCATCTTTCAGTAAAATTTTCTATCTACGGTATTTAAGGCACTTTCCTTCTGATAAAGGGTAATTTATTCGAAATTACACTTTAACTCTTAACTATGTTTGATGAACATTGTTCAGCTGTTTAAAAGATTATCTCTTTCCCTTGTTAGTGTAAGGACCTTCATAATAAAATGAACTAGTCTACTGTAGTCAGCAAATTCTTGGACATTCTGTTTTATAAGAATACGTTATGTGAAGTCAAGGTTATCTTATCTATCTGCCAATAAACGCCCGACAACGGTGTAGCCAGTAGCCACCTGGGGTTGTGTCAAATACCTAGATAAGACCGTGTACAACAACGTAAATATAGTTGCAAAATACCTAATCGTAATAAACAATTAATTAATCACATTTACTGAACAGTGTGATTAGTACATTCGTCTATTTTAAATTGTTGGCCACAAACTCCGTGCAGTTTTTTGCCACTTCTTCTTCTTCGTTTTCCTTCTGTCTACGGTCATTTTAAAAATAATATTTTAGCGCGCATTCTTCTGGAAAGTTATGGAACTGGTGAGTCGTAAAGGAATTTAGAAACGAAATAAGCATTTCATGAAAATGCTAAACCACACACATCTTTACAAAGCCGTCAAAAACTATTTTAGTTAGTTTGGGGTATGTTACCTCATCCACCGTATTCCCCCGACATAGGCCGTTCAGGATTTCACTTATTTCTGTCAATAACAAAATTATTTCTATAGACACGATTTTGACAACGAAGAAACTATCAAACGAGCTAGAGCTCTATTTGATAAGACTGGAATTTTTCTCGTTCATCTTACATTTAAAAAAGAAGTCAGGACCCTATACGTGCGATGCAGATGATCTACGCCATAGGTTCCCAAACACCCCCTGGACAGCATCAACACTACGCGATCTATGAAATGCCACAAAGACAAATCAACCGTCTGGAGAAACCTTCGTTAATTAGTACTTTACCTCAAAACTTCTTTATAATAAATGTAAAAATGAAGCCAACTGCTCCAATCGAATTTAATTACAATAGAGTACATAAAAAATGTTAATAAAAGATATAAACTGTGTATTGCGCGATTAATCCAAGTAAAAAAAAAAAAATGTTACCTTAGTTCAGCGGTAATAAAGTAAATTTTAGATGTAAATTGCTGTGGTAAATTGTAGTTTGTTTACAATTCTTATCGTTAGTTCCACATCAAACTGATTATTTAAAATAAATTAGTTTACGATTGATGTTCAATGTCAATTATACGATATTTTTCATTTCCATACAATGGAGCTGTTGACTTAAAAACCTAAACTCAAATAAATGCCTTTGAAACAAATTCAAGAATGCATGACAATTTAAAAATTGTAACTAGTGTCTGTCTTCGGCTAATAAATAGATAAATACTCTTAACCAAAGGTAAGAGCTGCCAAAACACTTCTAGACTCTGAACAGTAGAGCTGACTATATTTTTTTTTACGTTACCAAGTGACGGAACGAACAATTCGTGCGGCTGAGGTTAAGCAAGACGCCGTCTATAACAGTTGCAGTGCCACTCAGAGCCACTGCACTCGCACCATGAGACATAAGTTGACAAGTCCCATGCGCCTGTAATTTCATCAGCACCCTTACCCTTCAAAACCGGAACGCAGCAATGCTCACATTACCGCTTGGCGGCAGAAATAGGTAAGGTGACAGCACATCCCGGGATGAACTCTTTCACAAGGAGCTCTACTGCTACTAGAAATAAACTATATATTCAAAATCAAATTCCCATTGGGACTGAAGGTTCATATCCTACCGAGTGCGCGAATGTGAGGTAGAAAATTCAAAAATATCTTCATTTCATTGGTACAAATAGCCACATTGCTTTCACACAACTACTCATTCGTGAAACGCTTATTACACTACCCGATTTCAAGGGCCCTGCGTCAAGTGAATTTGTGGCTTTGTGAAGACGACTGTTGTAGCGGACTATGTCAGTGGGATTCAGGTGCTATTGAATAATGAGCAAAACCACAATAAATGTACTGACAATTTATCTTGAACAATGGGCAGCTACGAACCAAACAGAAAACAAACAATGACAATAATAAACAAAAAGGCGCCTAAAACAAGAACCTTTAATTTTAGAATTTCAATCTAAAACTAAACCGCTAAAAAGACCATATAAAATAATTATGTACAAAAATATTTCTAGCGACTGCTATGCCGCTACAACAACTGCCAGTTCCGAGATCGAGGTGGGTTTGAATTAAATAGAATTGAGTCCAGACTCACTGTATTTACGGAACTTTGAACTACCCCCGATAACAACGACCTTGGTGGCCCAAGGGTTTACAATGTGGGTACTGGATGAGGAGGTCCCGGGTTCCATTCACGGTAGGACCAATTTGGGAAATGAAAATGTCTGTGTGTTCTGGAAAATGTCCCAGAGTGAATTTCATTGCTCTGGTACTCATAGTATAGGGAATTATTCCCTAGTTAGAATGACGGATGTGCACTAAATCGAGACCTAGCATTTGAAGTGGTTGTCTGGAAATTATTATTATTATAAAATTCTAATATCTGAATACCTACTTTATAATCAGGAACAAATCTTTAAAATCCGTAACATAGTGCCTTATTTAGTTATTTTTACTGAGACTATGGAGATGTCACGTAAAGCGAACTAAAATTTAGAGGTCTATTAAAGTTAAACTAACAAGTAACTGAAAAACACAGTGTATAAATTTAGAATACTGAGCAACATTATTAAAGTCTCGTTCTTTATAGGCCTTCTCTAACAGGCCTTCATTCACTTTTAATTCTTAACTAACGCATTTAGCAATAAACACGTTTTTTTAAAATTTAGTTCGAAGCACGTGACGCAATTTATTAATAATAATCATTATACATTGATTATAGAGCTATTTTAATGAAGTAAGTATATGGACGACTCCATTAACAGGGAAAAAACTATAATTAACCAAATGTAATTTGACTTGAATGTGCTATGTATGTATAACCAACAGTATAATTTCTAATACCTAAATCGTTAGTAGTTTCCTACAGCCTTTGACCTCTAAAATCAGCCGTAGGACAAAAGGCAAAAGTGCTACCAGGATAAGGTTAGCCAACTTATTATTATTTTATTTAATACTTATTATTACTTTGTTACTTATTATGCAATTATTTCGTCAATACAGGTTACTAAAAACATCTTAAACTGATACCAAACCCATGTAGTCTAGTGAGTGAAGCAACATTTATAACTTCCTAAAAAAAATAACCAATCTGTAACCATTACTTAAGTTTTAACTATTTCCATAAATACTTATATTGAATATCTATATAATATCTATATAATTAATATAATAATATAATATAATATCTATATCTATATAATTTAGAAAATCATGCATACTCTATTTATTGTTAGTTTTCCATATAAAAATCAGGAGTGATAGACAAATCATTAAAAGTATCAAAGTTTATTTTTATGATACCCAGTGACGGGACGAATAAGTCGTGCGCTTGGTGGTAACGCCGGACCGTAGCAGTTGCAGTTCCACTCAGAGCCTGAAATCGCAAAGATCTGAGGGGCACTGCCACTGCGCCTGTCACCCTGAGACATAACTTGGCAAGTCCCTTGTGCCTGTAATTTCACCAGCACCCCTCTTACCCTTCAAACTCGAAATGCAGTAATACTCACATTACTGTTTAGCGGCAGAAATAGTTAAGATGGACAAACTCTTTCACCAGGAGCTCTACTGCTACTAAATCTAAATATGTTGGATAGGCAGACCAAATCTAAGAGTGAAGTTAAAAAAATTTACATTTTCTTATTGGCATCACACGAAATGTATGAAAATGCAAATTATGTTAAAAACTGTTATTAGTCATTACTCATTAGTTATTAGTATTTCATGGAAAATAGTGACAGACAAAATATATAATAACAGCTACACTAAATCACAAATTCTTTTGATGGACAATGTAAACATTGTCCATTTTATAGGCTTATATAATAAGATTCATGTTTATATTAACAATTTCCTGTTTACAATGTTTAACCTATTATAATACAACCATAGATTTAATATATAGGTACCCTATTATAGTAATACATTTGGTGCTTAAATGACAAAAAAATCTATGGAAGTGATCCATTGCTCCATCTGGTTATTGTTTCTACATAATAATATGACTTTTAATAATTGTTGTAAATGATAGATGTGGACATATATCTATCTACAAAAAACCCTTAGAGTAACTTATCTCACTCTTGTCAGGCAAACCTGCCTTACAAATGAGTAGTAGTAGCTTAAAGTCATACAGAAGGTCAATTTCAAAACCATGTAAACTTACAATATTGTGTCAGTAGAAGTTCTATGTACAAATATCTTAGCATCTTTTTTGCATCATAAATGCATAGCTATTCAATGGGATGTGTCCAGAACTTAAACAGAGAGTGAATCACCAGTTCTTAAAAGCTTCATATGTTAGGCCTATGTCTTAGGACAAGCTGAAGGTACTGAGTCAACAAAACTATAGAAATTTGAGTAACTAATAAGTATGTCATACAATGTTTCTGTATTCGATAATTCAGTATATAAGTTAGCTTATGGATCAGATATTTTATTATTCTTCTTAATCAGCAATAAAGGCTATAAATAAATAAAAGTTAAGAATGCAATCAAAGAATAGCTTAAGTTCTATGTACTAAGTACAATAAATACATAGCTATAATTTAACCATTCAAGTTATAACTAATTTCACTTACCTCTAACACTGCAGCATTTTGAAATATTATAACAGTCCATTTGATTTCATCCCAATATGTGTCTAAAGTGCCTCTATTCAAAAAATGTGTTAGTGTTTGCAGCAGTAAATAAGACCATCTGTAATTTGAAATAGATAATTTACTAACAACCTCATTGGGTCATTGGTTAGAAACGTCATTATGAGGCTTTTATATAAAGCAGGATTTTGGTAAATGATAGAACTTATCTAAATAAGTCTTAGAGCCACGGCATCTTTTTTTATGTGCAGAATAAGCGCGTTAACTCGATTCTGTAATGTTTGCCACTGTGGGGAAAGGGCTTGCAAAGCGAGTAACTTAGGTGAGTTGTTGAGACGTACAGGAAAGGAATAGCACATAGTGCGGGGAGGTTCCTTTCATGCACCCCACAGCACCAAAATGGCACAAGCTTTCATAGTCGTTAGAAAGCTGGCCTTAACTCAATTATTAATAACAATGTGTCAGACAACCACCCAATTACCTTCTCTCATACTAATTCCCTGTACGAGTACTAGAACAACGAATTCAATACAAGGCACTATCCAGTTCATTTCCCAAATTGGTCCTACAATGAATGAATCAAACCTGGGACCTAATTATCCAGCACCCACAGTGCATACTTTTCAGCCATCGATGTAGCTAAAAGTTTTAAGAATAAAACCGAAACTCATCTCAAAACAATTGCAAGTGCAGTACAGTTATTTATTTATTTACAAGATATTAAATATATAAGTAAGACTGTACTCAGAATTGACACATAATGTAATGACTGTAAATAATAGATTATTTACAGTAACATTTAAGCTAGAGCTTGTAAATAATAAAGTGAGTCAAAGTTGATAATAATTGATTCACAAAAAAATACCAAGTCAGTAAAACTAATAGTCTAAAATAAATATTAAAAATCAGAGTCGAGTATGTTTTACATAGTACAAGTTGGCCAAAGGTCAAAGTACAATTAAATGTTAGTCCATTCACAAAATTAAAGTTAAATTACTTACCCTAAACTTTGTATGCCGTTATACGCTAGCAGATAAAATTTCCCAAAAGGTCCCGTGGCTTTGGGTTTCGTGGTTACTTTACCACTCATGTTTATTATTTGACTTTGTTTTCAGGTATGTATTTTATATCCTTTACGGTATTTTTAACACTGTTTGCACTTGAATTGGAAAATCTTCAAAGTTGAATGTTCAATCTCACTATTGAAATTGACACATCACAAAAGTGTTACCAAACCAAAGAAAAAAAAGTGGTTAAATCGGGTAAATCCGGAAACAAACCAGAAGATTTTGCACGTCGTATCGTGTAATAAATAAAACAAAATTAAGTATTTTTATACAAATAGTTACAAATTGCTTAGAAAAAGGTGTGGATTTTTTTTTAAATTATATATTTTTTACAATATTATTAATAGACATACTTATTTTAGATTCTTGAATCGGTTCTAAGCGTAGCCCTTCATCTCTGCGACTTGTAATTGATCTAATTTTCATCACTACAAGTAGCAGTATTAAAAACTGAATATCCTGAATTCGATTGTTTTGATCTCCTCTACTTGAGGCATGTGGCAACCCAGTAGTGAATGTCTATCGTGTATTCAATAAGGGGCACGATTGCATGGCAAATATATACAGAGGTTCAGTTAGCGATGGTATGAGTTGTATTTGTTTCAACTCGAGTTACTCGAGTTGACTTGACTGCTAACTCGAGTTAACTCGACTCGGTGTTTGATAGAGCAACCGCGAGTCGCGAGTAGAACTCGAACCGACGATTCACCGAGTTGAACACGATCGGTCGGCCGACCGCGACTCAAGCGTGACCGCGAACCATACGACATGGTACTCGCCGTCCTCCCCCTCACACCCGAAGGTAAGAAGGTCTTCAACCTGACTACCTGTTGCCAACTCACCGGCTTAACCGTTGAGCCTCCTCGCAAACGTGGCATGCCCGGGCAATGCCACAATTGTCAACTTTACGGGCACTCGGCCCGTAATTGCCGCTCGCAACCCCGCTGCGTTAAATGCGCACTCCCCCACGCGACCTCAGCCTGCCCTAGGCCTAAAGATAGGTCCCAGTGCACCGAGCCTCCTCGGTGTGTTCTGTGCGGAGAGTCCCACACCGCGAACTATCGCGGCTGTGCTAAGGCCCCCCGCCCTAACCACAAGGTGGCGGCGCGCACTGCGGCCCATCAGCAGACTAGGGCACAACCTCAGCCCCTTATGTCCATCCGCGACTTCCCGGCCATCAGCCCTGCCCTTACAGCCCCACTATCGCCCCAATCACCGTGGGCAATCCCCAGCGCCAACGCCCCTGCGCCCGCCGCTCCGAAGCAGGCTAGCCCCATCGCCTCCGCTGCCCCTAAGGCAAAAGCACAATCGGCGCCTTCTGCGCATCGACCCACCGCGATACCACCCGCGACTCACTCCCTTAAGGACGACCTGGCCCTCGTGAGCCACTTTGTTAGCACCTTCGACGTATTCGAAGTTAAAAATCTAGCTACACTCCTCCGCGCCACTGACGGCAACGGCACTGCCCGTCTTCAAGCCATGTCGCGTTTCAGCTCGCTCATAGAATCACTGAGCAAATTCTCCACCTCTTCGTTCTCCCTCTAAATGGACTTATTAACCAGTAGGAGTAGAGTCAAGCCACGATCATTAAAGCTAGGCTTTTTCAACGCGGATGGCTTATCAAGCCAACGCGAGGAAGTTCGAACCTTCCTCACAGACCACCAACTCGACGTCCTGTTAATTCAAGAAACCTTCCTTAAACCCTCCGCTCGAACCCCCATGTTTGCCAACTATTGCGCGGTACGCAACGATAGATTGAACTCGCCCCTCGGCGGTACCATTATATACTACAAACGGTCACTTCACTGCATCCCCCTCGACCCACCCCCTACAACGTACATCGAAGCATCGGCGTGTCGGCTCGGCTTCACCGGCCACCCACCGATCACTCTCATTTCGGCCTATCTTTCACCTGATACTTCCCGATCGCTAATTCGCGAAGACCTGCAAGCCCTCTTGTCCCTAGGAGATTCAGTAATTCTGACTGGCGACCTTAACGCCAAAAATACTGCATGGAATTGTAACACCACCAACCCGCGCGGTAACACCCTCATGACGCTATCCGAATCCATGCATTTCAATATAATTGCACCCCTAGAGCCCACCCACTATCCGCATAACGTAAATTACCGCCCCGACATCCTAGACTTAGCTTTATTTAAAAAACATTAACCTCAGATTAGACTCAATCCACGTCGTTCATGAATTAGTTTCGGATCACCGACCTGTCCTCTTTCACCTCTCCCCTCGTTCGGACATAGCCCCCCCTGACCCTTGCGCCCCCGTTAAATCGGTGTTGGACTGGGGGAAGTTGAGTCACGACCTCAATTTCCTCGAGTCTGAACACCTAGTTCAGATTCCGGACGAGATCTCTTCAGTCGTAGACGCCAACTGTGCTATTGACCGTCTAGAGGGACACATACAAACCGCCGTTTGTAACAGCTCCCGGCCGGCACCGGCGACGGACGACCGTCGCTGGAACCTACCGGAGGATGTGCGTGCCCTTCTAACGGAAAAGAACGCAGCCACTCGTGCTTACGACTCTTACCCCACCGACGAAAACCGTCGTTTCCTGCGGGCTTTACAGAGGGACGTAAAGACGCGTATGGACGAGGTACGTCAAAGTCGATGGGAAAAGCTCCTAGAAGGGCTCGAGCCCACCCACCAAGCCTTCTGGCAACTAACCCGTTCTCTCAAGTCCGGCACAGTTGCCCAAACGCCCCCCCTTAACCGACCCAACCGCACCCCAGCATTTGACGACGAGGAAAAGGCCGAATGCCTGGCCGACAGCCTCGAAGCCCAGTGCTCCCCCAGCCTAGAGCCAGTCGACCCGACCCACCTCCTCCAGGTGGACTCCGAGGTCGAACTCAGAGCAACCCTCCCGCCCTCCGACCCTCCCCTCCCCCCGGTCACCCCAAAGGAAGTAGAATCGCTCATAAAGGACCTTAAGCCCCGCAAAGCCTCAGGCCCTGACGGTATCTCCAACAAGGTGCTTAAACAGCTTTCTGCACCCCTCATCGGTCTCCTGACTGCAATTTTTAACGCCGCTCTGACTAACTGCATCTTTCCGCAAAAGTGGAAAGAGGCGGTGGTCATCGGTATTCACAAGCCCGGGAAACCTCCATCTGAGCCCTCCAGTTACCGTCCCATCTCCCTGCTTAACACCACGGGCAAACTCTACGAGCGCATCCTATACGCCCGCCTCAGAGACTACGTCATGTCTCACAGTCTCCTCCCCGACGAACAGTTCGGTTTCAGAGCTAGGCACTCATGCGTCCAGCAAGTGCACCGGATAGTGGAACACATCTCCGAAGGCTTCGATCGCCCCCGCTTCATGCCCACCGGCGCCCTCTTCTTCGATGTGGCAAAAGCCTTTGACAAAGTCTGGCACAACGGCTTACTTTACAAGCTGTATAAACTCGGCGTGCCTGATCGTCTCGTGCACATCATTCGAGACTTCTTGTCGAACCGCTCTTTCCGCTACCGAGTTGAGGGCGCACTCTCCTCCCCTCACCCCGTAAGAGCTGGAGTCCCGCAAGGCTCTGTCCTCTCGCCTCTCCTTTTCTCCTTGTACACTTGCGACATCCCCAAGTATCAGGCAGTAAATCTCGCCCTCTTTGCCGACGACACTGCGCACTGCGCTCTACTATTCGGCGCGCAGCTCCAAGTTAGTTTCCGCGGCTCTTCAATCTGCCACCACACGCCTAGGCGAGTGGTTTCGCAGATGGAGAATCGAAGTCAATCCCGACCAAAGCGCGGCGGTATTCTTCACGCGAAGTAACCTATCCAGTCGTAGGGTACAAAACCTCACCCCGATCTCGCTCTTTGACCGCCTAATCCCCTGGGTGAACACGGTCAAATACTTAGGAGTTACGCTCGATAGGAAGCTGTCATTCAAAGCACACGTGAAAACCGTCCGCGATCGCGCCCACTTTGTTATGAGCCGGCTTCATCCCCTTCTCAACAAGCATAGTAAACTCTCCCTTCGCAATAAGGTCAGACTGTACACGACCTGCATCCGCCCTATCATGACGTACGCCAGCGTCGCATTCGCTCAGGCAAATCCCGCGTTAATACACCGCCTGCAGGCTCTCCAAAATAGATTCATGCGCAACGCGACAGGTGCCCCGTGGTACCTGCGCAACGCTAACCTCCATATAGATTTACGGCTCCCCACAATAGCCCAATTCATGAAACAGGCGTCGAGGAAATACTTCGACTCTGCTCCTCACCACCCCAACCCCCTCGTTGTGGCTGCATCCTCTTACGACCCCCTCAGGGAACAACCCCACCGCGTACGTAGGACCCGTCGGCCAAGGGAAGTCCTCAACGACCCTGACGACCCTATCACTCTCGCCACTTTGAAGGCCAACCAGATTTCTAGTCAGTCCCGTCCCGCACGCACCAACCGTCCTCATCGGCGAGGTCGTAGAGCCCCTCATTTTAGCACGTACACTGGTAGATTCTCTCCAACAGCACGCCCTTCTGGCGGAAGTCTCCAGTAGCGCCCTGAGCCGAGGTCCGTGCCCACTTGGGCGCCCTCAGGCCCGCTACTTAGCTTTAAGTTTGTTTTAGGGGTTATGAGCCTTCAGCTCGCCCTTTTTCCGGTGGCGCAGTAAAGGCCATCAGCGGCCAACTGCAAAATGTCATTCACAAAAAAAAAAAAAAAATCAAGCGTGACCGAAGGTCACCGAACCGACGAACTAGCTCGAGTTCACATAGAGTAGCTCGAGTTGACTCGTTGAGGGAGTAACTCGAGTTAAACAACTCGACTCGCCCATCGTTCGCGACTCTCTGAAGGTCACCGACGCGCTGTATGAATGAAGTATTCGGTTCGGTGGCAGGCGCGGGCGAGGTGGGTCAACCGAGTTAGCTCGAGTTAATGTAAAAGTAACTAGAGTTGACTCATTACAGGACGTATGTAATAAAATCTGCTACTGTTATAAAGGTAATGTTGTTGTTGACTACATCATTAACGAATAAACCATAAAAATGGCTGTTTTCAGCACCAGTTGTACTTAAATTTATTGATAATAACTGCCTGTCCATACCGAATATCAAAATCGACATTACTGCATTAGCATAAAGCACAAAATCGTAGTTTCTAATATGTGACTTATAGCAATAAAATAATAGATAACAATAAAATGGGAAAGAGATCTTTATGTTGTGCATTGATAGATTATAATCCTAAGATTTGCAAATCGTAGCATCGTCCAATCATTTGATTAGCGCCATTTCTCTCTCACTGCCTGTTGTCTATTGCATACTTGCTTGTTCGCGCAATCGCAACTGCAGATAGCAGAATAACAGTATAACAACAGCATTTTACACAGTTGTTCGATGATAAGTTACACATTGCGTAACAATAATGCATTATATTATCTATTGTAATAATAACCACTTCTAAAAAACGTGAGATCTCCTGTAAAATCAGGAGATTTTCAAACACTGCTCCACTGTCACTTTTCACGTCAATTTCACATCAATTTTTTTTGTTTTCATTCGTTCCATATGGAACAGGCGAAGGTGCTGCCGAGTCATTAGTTTCTCTTTTTCTTCAATTAAGTCTTCAGTGTAAGATCCTTATTCCTTCATTAACATGAGAACTTCTAAATTAATTAGAACATTAAGGGTCGTATTCCAGAACTCTACTCAATGCTCAAGTCAGGATTTGAGTATGATTTCAAGCACTGGAAATACGACTCTAAACGCAAAGACTTGAGCATAATTTCTAGTGCTTTAAATCAAGCACGCCGCCTCAAATTGCCTATCCTCTTTGTGGGGGCTATATTTACAGAAACATAATTAAACGAATTCATGGCTCATAGGACTTGTATCCAAGCCAAATTTATAAATAAAAAAAATTAACGACATCTTCAGTACTACTGTATTTAATTTAAAAAAATAATGTTTTCATTTTACATATTCATTACCTATATATTTTATTGTTTATAAGATCCTAGGCTAGGCCATTATTATTAATTTGTTGACCATTGGCTATAGATCCGTCAGCTGCTGCAGCATCAACAACTGTAATTACAAAAACCCGCCATTTTTTTTCCATGTTTAAAAAAATACTTCATGATTTTGAGACCCAATTGCGACTTGACTCATTCAGTGAGCTGTTTCGTTTTATAGCTCATAAATCTGTAAGTGACATCGTGTTTAGTGTCACGTCCTCCTTGTGAGTATAGTGTTCTGTGGTCACGTCACTAATTCTTTCGATTCTTCGTTCGCGTTTCTGTAGGAGGTGCGTATTGTATTTTTTCGAAATAATTTTATTTTTTTTACAAAATTTAGGATTTTTACAAGGTTTTATTTTAACGTTATTGTAATTATTTCAGTCGTCGTCTGCCAAACGGCTTACCATAATGGTTGCTGCCAAGAAACAGGTAAGCGAACACGTGTAGTACTTTCAAAAAAGGACTTTTGGCATAGTTATTCAATGTTAATATTGGATTAACTTCTCGTGAAAAGGTCCAATAACAATCTTGATACCAGATAGGCTCGCTAATTCCATATTACACGAGGTTGAGAGCGTTTCATACATTTTGAGGTTATGTACTTCAGAGTTCGACGGTTGTTTCGTGTAAAAATAATTTAAGTAAGTATGCTCAGTGACATGTTTTTTTAATACAGAAAAAGACCATCGAGTCTATTAACTCGCGCCTGGCGCTGGTGATGAAATCCGGCAAATACTGTTTGGGCTACAAACAGACCCTGAAGACCCTTCGCCAGGGCAAGGCCAAGCTGGTGATCATCGCCAAGAACGCTCCCCCGTTAAGGTGAGACTACTGAGAAGTAGAGTTTCCCACTTACTTGTCAAAGGGAAGCATATGGAGTCTTAGGACTAAGAAGTATGGATTCCCTCACAGTGATGACAATAGAACAGTTTTTAATAATAATAACGCACACACTCAACATAGCCCCGCACTAGGAAAACCCGGTATCGCGAGTGCCATGGACACAGACAACCACAAATTACACCCAAATTCACAAGATAAACAAATGTAGGTCATACAAATATTTCTTCCAGCCCGGGAATCAAACCTGGGATCTCTGCATGGCACTCCGGCATGGTGACTGTGTGGCCACGGGAGCAGTTATTTTTACTTTCATTTGAATGAAGCATTAAACCATCTGACTAAATCAACTATCAAAAGTTGTACTGTGAACAAACCTATTTAAAACCTACTTGAAGAGGTGTCACTATTTGCTATATGATTCTATCAGTAACTTTTCTATTGCATCACAATTTATTTGGGAAACCTATGGAGTAGTCTTGAGTCTTAAGCCCATGTGCTGAACAATGACAGGTGAGAAAGTTGTTTCAGTATTTACTTATCCAAGTTATTACTTGAAAGCTCTTGCTGTAACATAAAAAGCAACCTACAGCTTTACTTTATCTATAACATGAATTTTGAAGCATAAAAAAGATTTTTAATGTGCATAAATCAATACCTCCAATGAACCCTACACCAACTTTCTTTTTTGGTCATTTACTGTTATTTTTGTGAACAGCCATGTTTAGGTAGTAATATTAAGCTCCCCGAATTTTGTACAAAAAAAAATTATGAAACAACAAATTTAAAAACACAAAGTAACGAATTTTTTGAGAAAAGCAACAAAGAAACAAAGCAAAAACAGAACAGGTCCAAAAATTAAGTTAATAGCGTTGTGTTTGTTGGAGCTATCGAAATGTCAAACAAACTGCTCTTATTTCAAGGTCAGACAGGATATTTCATGTATGTACAATTCGTGATTTACATTTCTGATTTATTGGATATTGACCCATTTATACTCAGAACTTTAACTTTTTTTTACAGGAAATCCGAGATTGAGTACTATGCTCTGCTTGCAAAGACCGGAGTCCACCACTACAGTGGAAATAACATTGAGCTTGGCACTGCATGTGGAAAGTACTACAGAGTATGCACATTGGCCATCACAGACCCTGGTGACTCTGATATTATCACGACGCTGCCCGAGGCACAGGCTTAATTAAATAATATAAGTTAACTTAAAGTATCGTCTTTTATTTTCCTACTATTATAAGGTAATTAAGTGTCAATCTTCAGTGGCACAGCGATTAGTACTATGGCTTGGTGAAGTTTCGGGTTCGATTTGGGCTAATTTAGGAAAGTAACATTTTTAAGTTATTCTGGTCTGCCCTCCAGTTATCGTTATTCTGGTATTCATAGTACAGCAAATTCCTTAATTCGAGACCAGAAGTTTGACTTTTCTTTTTTCCCTTACCTTAATACCTACTTGTCTTTGGCATGGCTTCCAAGAGACGGTTGAGAACAACACTTATCTCATTTCCATTACGCCTTGCATTTTGAACTTTTTATTTTATTTACTACCTATACGTACGGTGGCGTGCGGAACGGAAATTATTAGCTTAATGGCGGCCATATTTAAAAATTGCAAAATATAATTTTCACATCTGATGCTCTTAAAATTCGTGTTAATGCTGGATGTCGGCTGCATAAAATAGGAGTTTATGCTCTAGTGCCTTAGTTCCCAAAGTGGTCCAGGTGGACCTCCATGGGTCCACGGAAGACTGCGGGGGTCTACGTTGGCGTGACAAAAAATAATATGGAATATGGTACAAATGTAGCTGCAGGGGGTCCACCGGAACCAGCTAAATTTTGTGTGCCTTATTCCAGCTTGACCATGGTCGAGTTTTTGAAATTTGACTAGTTTTTACATTTTGAGTTTCTTATGGTGCCGCCGGAATAAGCTTATTACAGCGTGGACAGTAAAACACCTCAATAACTTCAAAACAGCGTAACGACTAAATCTAGTTTTTTACGACTAGAACCGACTAAATCACGACTTTTTTAGTGTAATCAGATCTAAGCTAGGTATTGTGGTTCTCGAGATTGAGAAATGGTGCCGCTGAAATATGCTTATCCCAGCGTGGACAGTAAAACACCCTTATAATTTGAACGACGGACCGACTAAATCTAGTTTTTTGCGACTAGAACCAACTAAATAGCGACTTTTTTCTGGCTAGTCAAATTTCAAAAACTCGACCATGGGCACGCTGGAATAAGGCACACCTAAATTTTGATTAGTCTGACAGTGTTGGGCAAAATTGTTGTTGGGGTAGTAGTTGGATGCAGCCACCACGAGGGGGTTAGGGTGGTGAGGAGCAGAGTCGAAGTATTTCCTCGATGCCTGTTTCAAGAATTGGACTATTGTGGGGAGCCGTAAATCTATGTGGAGTTTAGTGTTGCGCAGATACCACGGGGCACCCGTCGCGTTGCGCATGAATCTATTTTGGAGAGCCTGCAGGCGGTGTATAAGCGCGGGATTTGCCTGAGCGAATGCGACCCTGGCGTACGTCACGACTGGGCGGATACAGGTAGTGTACAATCTCACCTTATTACGAAGGGAGAGTTTGCTATGCTATGCTTGTTGAGAAGGGGGTGGAGCCGGCTCATAACAAAGAGGGCGCGATCGCGGACGGTTTTCACGTGTGTTTTGAATGACAGGTTCCTGTCGAGCGTAACTACTAAGTATTTGACCGTGTTCACCCAAGGGATTAGGCGGCCAAAGAGCGAGATCGAGGGTGTTACGAACAACGGTAAAGCACAGCCTTAAATAGCATGCATGACACAAAACGCCTTGCATAAAGCATTTCGACAGGTCCTAAGTATAAGGGTCAAACTAACAATTTGATAATTTTCACGTCTTTGTGGGAAATGCTTCATTTCATCATAATAAGAATCGTTTCCCACAAAAAAGTGAAAATGATCAAATTGTTAGTTATGCGTTGCCCACTTGTATATTCCCAGTGAAAAAACTGGTTTATTGTATTAAACGTACAATTGTTGCTTAAAGCCTAGCCAACGAAACGCGTCTTGTGTGTGTGCCACATTAATTCAACACACATTTGACTATCCGCTAGTATTCAATTTTTTTTAATTTAGATGCTGGATAATTGTAATATTCTGAAAATTAAAAGAACTAGCTTCTTTTAAGTGGATATGTCTATTAATACTACAAATGATGGTTCTTGAGCCCACCTCCCGTATTCCCATTAATAACTTTCGCTCAAGTTATTTTTAGCACAGTAACAGCCGAATGGGGATCGATAGTCTGAAAGGTTGTATGAAAGTATTATTTCCATTGATTTTTAGCTTTCCCTCCTACGCGGAGTTATTTTTACTGCTGGCATTACAATTTAAGTGCCATTGATAAATTTTCTTCAGTTATACAATGAAAGCACCCTAATTAAGCATAAATAAATATTGATTAGCGACTCTTCGACTTTACGGTGATTTTGCTATTGTTAGAATAAAGTAAATATTTTTTTGACAAAACATCTAATTTTACAGTTTTTTACAAACTTAGGGATGCATGGTATCGATTATTATATTATTATGCTTAGCTTGCGATTGTTATATTGTTTACTAAATTGCTTTAACAGCAAAGAAAAAACATTATAATATTACCGTACATTGAGATTAAATTATTCAAAGTCAAGTCAATATTCTAAACACGGATAGAAAAAAAGGTCTGATTTTTATTTAAATAATATATTATTTTAGTCTTTGAAATTTGAAAAATAAACCTCAACTTTTGTATATGAAAAAAAAAATCTGTTTTCCAACTACAACGCCTGGTGACGCGCAAAGACTCTCGCATTAGTGCGTCCGGATCAGTGTGGTCTGACGCCTCACTGCGCCCAATTAAAGCGCGCCGACGCGCGTAGCCGCTCGACTGCAACCAAGCGTCGACGCGCGACTCCATACTTGCATAACACAAATTTGTACCTTAATAATGAGAAAATAGACATGAATATGCTATAGGCGAAAAACAACGCGTCGCGACGCTTCGACTATGCGCCAGTGTGAGTTGAGCCTAAGTCTCCGTGATAGAAGACTGAAATTTGTATGGCGGCCATCTCGTATATTTTTTACTTCCGGCGGAAAGTGCCCAGTGCTCAAATAGTCCCTCCATCTAACATTTTTTTTATATTTTCCACATTCAGGTGTTCTCGTCTATTTTCCCTTTGATTTGAGACCTATCCGCGTACAACTGTATAAATGTCTTTTTCACCATATAGGAAAGTCTTCGTTCTATTTCTATCAGTGAGTCATAACTTGTAGCTTCTATAATAAAGATATAAACAAAACATTTGCATATAATGAATAAAACAAAAATATCTTTTGAAATAAATTGGATGACGTAAAATATTTGGCGTGCTATTTTTTCAAACGTTAATTAATATGCGTGTTAGTATAATTATGTGCGATAAATAGTGCATTAATAATTTGTCATGTACCCATAGATTTAGTAGATCTATGCCTGTACCGAACAAGGGTGAGTGGATAAAGCCGCATGTACTTGGTGTTGCCAGTAGTTCTTTACCACTAAATCTGGACATGAAGCATTTTGTCAGTTTAGCTTTTGGCACTATTTAGATTTGTTGATCACACGAATGTGCGATCAATGTCGCAAGTATGTTGGATCACAGAAGTAATGGTTGATCAATCAAAACATCAATCAAGTTCTGCACAAGGATGTTACATACCACTCTACTAATCCATCAACAGGCTGATATCTATTGCTATCAGGTTCAAATAATACCACTTCGATCGCTAAGAGCATTCCCGACCATATTGGAGATTTGAAATAAAACAATCCCAAATATTATATACATAAAACTTTATTACGACGCCCAGTCTATTATTTTTTCTTCCTCCAAGGGCTACCAGCAGGTTTTCCTGTGAACAAACAATAATGATTAATAATTTAGGTTCATGTCATCCTCTCGCCTCACCGTTCCAGATCTGTGTTTCGGGATCTTCTATGCAGACACTTAACCCTTCTATATCGATAGTGTCAAGGGTAGACGGGTAAATACAACTGATCTTTGAATGAGTTATGGCTATAGCCATTTTAAAATGGAAGATACAGATTCGTTGATGAAAGCAATGGTTTACTCGCTGATGATCAAGTTTTAGCTCCGTTAAATATTACCCGTAACAGAATCCTCGTGTGTTTTGATCGGAGTGTTGTGGGATTTTGACGAAATAATATGTTTCGCACGAATATCGATGTCAAGCATTAAAACTAGTCCGACAACTTGAAGAAGTTGGAATTGAAGGTAAAGATACTAACATCTACGTACGTGCTACTGCTGTTTTCGTCAACCCATGTATGCATGTTGCTGTCCTACAGTGGAATCCAGTTCAATGTCAGGATATTGTCTTCACAATATCATTTCATCCATATTCTGAAACATAACAATTATTATGACAACCGTTTCACAATGACGGAAATTTTTACATTTGTAATAAAAGTTTAGTGCAAGCAAGCCTGTCAACTCCGGAAATAGGCAAATAGGTGCATAAAAATCTTATTATGCTACTTTTGTTTTCTAGTAATTTGTATGGTAAATCCTAGGCTTAAAACTATAACCTGCCTAAGACAATATGGAAACAGAGTAAGTATTTAGATTACCTTAGAACAATTTATAGTACATTGTTATGGTTTGCTATATCATCTGACGTATATTATCGTCTTGACGTATGTAAATAGGAATGAATAATTACCACCGATTTTACCATTTGTACAACTTTTTCAACGCTTATGGATACTTTTAATAATGTGCATTTCTTCATGAATTTATTTGTTATGTATCCGTATCCTGTCTTACAACTAAAATAACTGAAGTATCCTGATACTTCATACTTATTTATTTTTCAGACTTTTAGAAGTGCAATATCTTAAAAAGTGGCCTTTGATTCATAACTACGTACGCATAGGACCCTTCTGCTAACGGCGCGCTCTCAGCATAGAACTTTGATTTGATTACCTAATTTCTTAATCTTTGCCTTCAGTTAAGTGTGTAAAAGATTCGATTGTACTTACTTAAATTCTAGATTACTTGTGGAAATCTTATACTTGACTATTCAAAATTGTTCCATCTTTCTGGTCATGCTAAGAAAGTATGCTTCTACCTCATTTGAGTACCTATATTTGAAATACTTACATCTACATATTTGTAACTATTTTCATATGTATGTCATCAGAATATTAGTCCACATTTCAATTTTCATATTTCGTAATACGCAACACATAAGTAGAACATTAATTCTTATGAAGAGCCTATAATTAATTACCTACTTGTAAGAACGTTAAGTGCATTTTATACCATCGAAAAGAAGCTTGTCGACTTGTTAGCAGAGTACACAAAGTTATGTGGTTGAAGAATGTCTATGTAGCCTATAATCATCGCAAATGCTAACCACAGACATTTGATATATACAGGTTGATAAAAAAACCGCTGACCATTTTAAAGGGGCATACTGTATAATGGCAATAAAAATACATGTTCGGTTTTTTTTTTCAAATACTTTAAAAATAAATAACTTTCGAAGTTTCAGTTTTCCGAAAAATTGTGAACAATATTGACACCCGATGATTAGCAGACTCCGTTCCGTCACCACGCGTTAAAAATTATTGGGGAATATTAACATAAAAAATTATTATTTTTTTTGTGTTATTTCAATAATGTGTTCTATTACGGAATCTTATGCACAAGAAAAAAATGGACAGTTATTTTTTTATCTCCCAGTATACAGAAAATTTACATATTAAGAGTATGATGCGTTTGAGCTTTGTGTATAAAATATTCCACTTACGAATATAAATGATACAATAACGTATAATTTACTGCTTATTTTTTTGCCAGATATCCAACTATCGATATCGAAATGAGAACCGTGGACCTCAACGCTCGAACCTACTAGTTGTCAAACCTTTTAAGGTAGAAATACGATTATATTACAAACTATAACTAATAAGGTACTCTTTGTATCTTACCGTATTATAATCACATATTTTCTTTTCCATTAACCATGCTCAGTGATGTGGAGTGCAAATATCCTGTCATTTTCGATCGCTCGAAGTATATTTGGCTGCTTAAATTAGTGGATGTGATAATAAATTAAACAGTACAGTTATTGTTTAGTAATTCATTGCAGATAGTTGAAACTTTAGTAAATGGAGACTAATCCATTAAGAATATTATGAAAAGAAAGTGGCAAGTTATTTAGTATTTTGTCTATAGTTTTCAACACTGAATAATTGTTGTTTTTAATTGTATTATTTATGAAATAAACACCCAACTTAAAGGCTGACAAGTCACTTTATGACCCCAGTGTAACTCATAATTTATTAAAAAAAAGTGTAGGAACACACCCATGATTTTAATCATTAACATCTGTGTTTTTCAGCAAGTTCGTGAAAGAAACGCTGAAACTAGAGGTAATTGTTTAGAGAATAACCTTGATAGTCTTAAAGTCTATGTTTATCGCAAATACCCAAACTTTCTTGTAGTAGAAATAAATTCCACAACATAATTTGGGACTAAATGTAACTCATCAACCTTTATATTTTGCCCGACTGTAAGGTGCGGTTATCTTTTGGTATAAATTTTGCAAGCAATGAGATATACTACAGAAATGCACTAACTACAACATTCCTCTAATGATACGAGTGACAGTTTATAAAAAAACATCCAGTTATAAACTTGGCGACCAACTCCACCTTTCTGTAATAACACACTATAATAGTTATTATTTAAAATACCTCTTTCAAAACTTTTTTAAAAATAATTAAGTGCAGTCATCATAAAAATATTGATGTCTACTCAGATGTTAGATTATTACAATTAAAATTTAATTGTCTTTCTGTAACTTCTTTCTTAGTATTAATACTCTTCAAAGCAAAAAATGCAACATTTATTATTACAATTTTCATAACTAACTACCCCTAAAAGGTGTTAAAATGGGCTTTTGCTACTTCTAAAAATATATTTGAAAAACCAAATGACTTTTCTGTGTTAACGAAATACGTTGTTTACAGAACTTATAATTAAGTGGACTTTTTGTTCTATTTCTGTCTTGGTTACAGATCTAACAGTGCTTATTGATATAATCCAAACGGAAACAACCTGCAGTCGTCTAGTGTTATAATAAAGTCACGTCCTGTAGATTTTGAGATTAAAATAATTTAAGAACATTTTCTTATATCAACATCAAATAAATATCATATAAAATAATAGTTTAATATCTCTTGATAGTTAAAGCAAGAGAGTATTATTTACGTACATACACATATCAAATGTAACTTTCAATATTGAACTTTCTAAGAATGTAGAATTGGCTCAAAAGTGCCAGTCATGGTATAATTATTATGGAAAAATAAATTTTATTAGTTATCTCTAATTTTATTGTGCATATCACAAGAATGCAAATATATGTGTGCAATTAGTTCTTTAATAGACTTGTTAATAATAATAGGACATTTACTATATTTGTACGATTTAGTGTATTTTGTTATACACATATCTCTTCTAATCCAGACTTACCTATTTATTATAAGGTTATTATTATTTACCCAAGAACAAAATTATTAACTTCAGATCACACTCATATTCCTAAATCTGCAGAATGAGATTAGTCTTCCTTGTGCTGATTATTTATGTTCTGCGTTAGTTAGCTCACATTGTGCAACCTGCTACATGTTGAAAATTTAGCTCATTTAATCAGAGCAGGGAGTTTGATCTTTTTCTTTATAAAAAAAATCGCATGAAACTCTTACTTTCTATATTTCAAACTGGTTTGACAAATAAATATACACAAGTTACTTAATATTTTTATTACGAATTTAGTTCTTAACATCTAATTGCTATGGTATCTAAAATACCATTCAGAAATTACAATTTATGCCTAAGGGAATTTAACGTATCTATTAGAGTCACTGAAATTTGAGATGTCATAGACTAATAATGTACTTTACAAGGGCTCTGAACACACGTACAAGTATCCACTTATAATTGTTACATTTCTATTCATTTATCTCTAGCATTGTGACAGAATGGTGTCTTCAAAATTAAGTTAATAGGTACCCTACCTATTCCAAAACAACATTATGTATAATTTGATAACTATTTTAAGTACATAGGACAATTATTTATTCCAATATAAATAAAATTCTGCTCACATAGAGAAAATATTAACCAAGTTTGTTTATATTTATACAAGTTCAGAACCCTTCCTCTTGTCAAATAATAACGATGTTTAACATCACACCTTTAGTCAGAAAATACTGTTTGTTACTATAACATAAAATTCTTGTTTCCTTTATGTAAAAACGCATCATTTCGTAATATACCTCTTATTCTGAATTCTTGATGCTCTTATTTAGCACAAACCAGTATTGAATGGTAGTATATTCCAATAGCTTCATAAAAATGTTGTAGACTATTTCATTTGTGGCGTATTTTAGAAGCTTATTGACGTATCTTTCTGTTAATATGAAACAGATCACCAACTTCCTGTAATGGAAACAATTAAATATGTGCTTTAAGAAATTACTATTTAGAAAATCTTTGGTTAGTTTTGATTAATTTCAGTATGTACTTGGAGTAATAATATTTCTCGTTTGGCATCTTCACTAAAATAGCACTTCATTTGGTCTGATCAAATATTTCACCAGTTTTTTTCTTAAACCACATCTGAGCATTCTGCTGTTGGCCCAAAACGATCACTAGTTATAATACTGCAATAAAATTAAATACTTGTTTGGTATTTCCTAATCATTTGTTCTTAAAACTTTGGTAACGCAGAAAATTAAACTAAAGTACGTTCGTGTGGTATATACCTTGCTTGTACATAAAGCTATACCTAAATTTAGTAAAATACTTAACTTTGGTAAGTACTAAATACACACAAGTCTACCTTACTACACAAAACTAAAATTCCTGTACCATATTTTTTCTTTTTTGGCGCCGTTACTTTAATATTTTGACAGAATATTGTCTACTACATAATAATATAGGTAATAATATTTAGGGTCGCATTCCAGAACTCTACTCAATGCTCAAGTCAGGACTTGAGTATGATTTAAAGCACCAGAAATCACACACAAGTCTTTGCCATTAGCGTTGTATTTCCAGTGCTTGAAATCATACTCAAGTTCTGACTTGAGCATTGAATAGAGTTCTGGAATACGACTCCTAGTCATTTATTGTCTCAATTTTGTGAAACAATTGTTAGTGAACTATGTGGTATGTTGTCTGCAATGGTTAAAAACAATGTTTTAGTTTCACTACATACATTGGCATTATTCAACCGAAATCTTAAATTTTCTATAGATTACATATTATTTCTATGTTTGTTAATCTTAGTTCGATTTTAAGCCAGTTTCCTAATTTTTGACACTCACATAGTGTAGGCATTTGTTGGTGCCTCTGTGATCTATCATCGCTTGTAGTTAAAATTTGATTTCACTTACTCTACTTATTTTCGACTAATATTTGCACACATCAGGTACTTGTATTTTGCATATTGTGTTTTATTTCATGTCCTATTTTTCATATTGCTTGTTTGTAAAGTTTGTACAAAAATTGTTTATATATAGTCCCAATTGCGGAAATATGAGCGTGTTCACCGGTGCGTCGAGTTAGTATTTTTTCCTGTACTTACCATAACTGTTGCTATACTGAGGTTGCTGTGGCTGATAGGAGTTGTATGCAGGTTGCGAGTAAGAGTCGTAAGCAGGTGCGGGCCCCCCGCTGCCATATGCGGGTTCAGCCGCGCCGTAGCCTGCGTCACCCGCGCCCCCCGCTACGCCCCTGTGCCATTTACATTTTTGTCAATACTTTTCATAAACTTTTTTGCAGGGTAGGTGAGGCAAAAACAACTCAACAATCGCGACGCGGTGCGATGTTGCGAGTGTTAAAAACGGACGTCCAAACAAAGCCAAAATCACGATACGGTGTGCAATAAAATTTAGTATCATTTCCAAATGTTTAGTATTAATCTTGAGTAGACTTGTTTTTGTACTCACCCATAGCCCTCATGCTCATAACCTCCCTGCCCGCCCGTTGAGTAGCCATAGCCTGATCCGTAACTACCCGAATTGTAACCCGACCCCGATTGCGCTGGCACAGGCGTCGAATAGTTATTGCCTTGATACGAGCTAAAAATTGAAAATGTACTCATATACTACAAGTGACGAGCCCAACATTGCTAATCAACATTTATTATATTATTCAGAATCTAAACTTTCTGCATCTATGTATCAGACGGCAATTCCTATCTTTAGATAGTGATCATCATTGTGTGACTGTGGTTCTTTAAATAACATGGTGGTCATTGCACGACTTACCCAGTGGTGCTATATGCCGGGGGTGCGTATGGATCCGCCGCCGCCGGCGACTCGTACGGCTGATATCCTGTGTGCCTGCAGATAAACACATGCTTAATATGGAGCTAGGAATACAATACTTGGCACTGTAGTGAGCATTCTGTCAGTTGGGAAATTAGCGTCATGTGTGTATCAGACGGCACATTCCTATCAAGATTCTGGCTCATCATGTTGCAAAAAAAACGTCCTGAAGGGATTGATTTGGTGTGGAAATTCGCGCTTTGTAAGACTCTACTCTGGACTGTTATGATACTCAAATTCATAAAACTAACTACTGTAAATGTTACAAATACTAACGATGGTGGTCCATAACCATTAGCTGGAGGAGCACTGTGTGGCGGTTGCTGGTAGCCACCGGTTTGCGGGGGGCGTCCACCACCACGTGGACCATCGAATCTGTCGAAAAATATGGCCATGAACAAACTTGTACACTTCATTTAATGTTAACTGATATGAAAATTGCACTGCTTTTGTGGCTGTGTGGATAAAAAATCCATTTAATTTTAGATTTATATAAACACTATTTTTTAAACCGACCTTCCTCGCTTGGGTGGTCCTCCTGGTCCTCCAAGTGGCGGGCCGCCTCCTCGCTTGAATGGTGGTGCTTGTTGTGGAGGCGCACCACCCTGATGAGGCGCAGGCGCTGACCTCGGTGGCATGTTTGGGGGACCACCCGGCCCTGGTCCACCAGCTCCTGGATGAGGCCCAGGGCCTGCGTGAGGCGCTGAACCGGGATGCGGACCTGGAAGGCCGCCTGGGGGACCACCAGGTAGTCCGTGACCACCACGTCCACCTCGACCTATAAATTTGAACCAAACTTTGTAGATTTTACTAGGTAGAGTGGTACTTAAAATTATTATATAATAAATAAGAAAGATGCATGCTGACTATCAATAAATTACTGAAGTAAAGTATATAAAGTTTATTAACTAACAGAAAATGTTTTCAAATTTCATTTTTTATGTTCTTATATTTCCATAAGTAGTAAATAAGTGTCGTATTAAATGATTTATGTATAATTAAGTCTCACCTCTCATTCCCATTCCTCCTCGGCCACCTCTGTCGCCACGAGGTACAAAGTCTCCACGGCCTCTGCCACCCCGCCCTCGCATACCGCCAGGACCACCTCTGTTGAACCCTCCTCCTAAGATAATTACGATTCAAAATGATGATTTATTCAGAACAGAAGGGTAGGTAACTTACCCTGTTACAGTCAACTTTGATCCCAATAAATAATTTAACTTGCAACATGTACCTAAGTTAATCCACCTGAATTGATTTTATTTACTATACACAGAATCTAAAAGCACATAAACAAGTCCTACACAATAGCCTTATATGCATATGAAAATATTCCGAGAAACATGTGGTAATTAGACATCATACAATTTTCATAACACATACTCTGTGGAGGTGCTCCTCTAGTTTCAATAGTAGGGACTGGATGTGGGCCTGGGCCCTGTGGGCCGGGAGGAAAGCTGCGGCCGCCCCTGTCGCCGCCGCCGCCACGCATGGGCCCACCGCGAAAGCCCCGTGGACCTCCGCGCATTGGACCACGAGGTGGACCACCTCTCATTCTCATTCCTGGTCCGCCACTGTGGACATCACCAAAGTTACACATTGGGCACAAGATAACCAATAAATATTATGTATATTTATTTTCTTCAATTGTTGTTTATGAAAGAAACTTTTGAGGCAAAAGGAATTTGGTAAAAAGCTCTTCAAGAACGTCCACCACAGAGATCCTAGTTTGAGGATAACACACATCCTAGAAATAACTTCTTACAACTTTGTTTAGGTTATGCTCCCTTAAATAAGTTTCATTGCCTAATGAAAAGAGCAGAATCTCCACTATTGTAGGAGTTATATTGTTCAAGAGGTCATTATTGTCGTTCACCATAATACTTATAACATTTCTTCAAAACTACTGCACATAGTCATTTTTAACCCTGATGTTGGCAGGATCATTATGTAAATCGATGGAGCCATCATAAGAAATTGGTATTGTAGGAAATAGAAATACGGTGTTAGCTAATTAAATTGTATACCTACAGTAGTCGCAAGAAGGTACATAATGTGGTGTTGCGCTAGGTTCTAGACCAGTCCAATGTCCAGGATAAAGAGGCAGCAGAATTTGTTAAAGCTAGACTTTACCCTTCTTTGGGAATCCCAACAGCTACTAAGGTCATCTCCAGGAATGCAATGATACATCCTGGAGATATCTGGCTACAATGCCAATGGTCTGAAACACTAGCCTAGCCTGATTAACGCCTACACAACCAAGAGCCGAGAGAAACTCCGACATCAGGCAGGCATAATCTCAAAATGTTGACTAGGGTTGTCTTGGGTGATTTGAATTGGGTGTAACCGAAGGGTGCAGTGGAAATCCAAGAATGTAGAGTTAGTTTCAAATAGCAAATTGGCACTGATATTTTAGTTGAATATTTTGTCTAATTAAATTAATTTCATTACAAAAAATTACGATATTCGTTGTCATCGATATTAAAATCGCACTCGAACATCCCTAATCTCATACAAGCACTTGCTTTGAAGTTGTCGTAAACACGTGACCTAATAGATTTTATTATTTATTTACTTACAAAACTTGTACTTCTGAGCACATGTCACAAATATTATAGCGCATTTTACGGTTGAAAACACTGAAAGAATAGATTTATATCTGATTTCATAGAATCACTGTAAAACGCAGCCCTGGATACATTCGAAGTCTAACAGCATGGACTGTAAAAGGTGCTAGGAATGATTTTGGATTGTTATTTACATAGCACTAGTTATTATTTTATTTCATTCGTACTTAAAATTAGTAGAATTATAAGATTCAGTGCTAAAATTCATTCTTTTAAATTTACCTTAGATTATGGAAACCAAAGGACATGTTACATTGACATATATAAATCAGATATTATATGTATATGATGCATTTAGACGGCGAAAATATAAACATTTTATTGTCTGTGTTTAACTACTGCGTGCCGTGGTAAGCTACAAGAGATAGCACTACATTGATTTATGTCAAACACGGGAATCGAAAATACCTAAGTAACATCATCCCCAATACCAACTGTCCTTATTTTACGATTTTTGGAGTACCCTTTGACATCCGTATCATATCAGATCATTTGACATCAAATGTCAAAACCAACGTTTGTCCAAAAGTTTTAGTAAATTATTCGCATGAATTGCAATGAAATGGACAAAAATATTAACAGTGAGAACAATTAAGTATTGATAAAAATGCGTCGCTGCAACATTAAGGGGTGCGGCAGTAGAAAAAGCGAAAATCAACCGAATGTTACATTACACTGGCATGTGTTATTTTCTGCCTATAAATCATACAATAGCCGAAATATCTCATGTAATTAGACTCATTTAAATAGTTTATTTTATGAATAAACTACTTTAGATTGCCTGTTTGTTATTTTGATGATTGATGATAACAATTATTTTGACATAGTGTTGTTCTTGTAAGCAGACATATTATTGATATTCTGTTATTGAAACAATCCACTACGAGGTTTTATTATTTCATTATTATTATTTTTAAAGTTTACCTACAAATGAAAAAATAAGAAAGAGCGGTTGGAAATTTTAGGACCACCGAACAAAAACATTGGATCAAATACCATTTTCGTTTGTTCACTCCGTTTTGCAGAGTCAAATTTTAATAAACTTTGAATGTAACTATGTTAATGCAATTTCACCGTTACATTTATTGGTAAATAACTTTATATTTAATTTTGATTAAGATGGCTCATTACTTGCCTAGTAATAATAGCCTAGTATTAATCATACTTTGATTACAGTAAACTACACAAATTTGCAAACATAAAACACAGTAACAACAGTTTCAACATTCAAGCCATACATTTGCATGTCGATATTGATTATGATATATGATTATGGTACAACACTGAGTCCGCCATTTGTGGTCGATATTTTTTGTTTAGGTAGGGACATTTTTCCGTAGATAAGGCACCTCCTTTCCTTTATTTTTTTCCATCCTCTAAGGTCAATATTCATTTTATTTTTATTAATCAAAAACAAAACTGTAGGTATTGAATCTTATTGTATAAAAATGGTTTTGTAATTCTAAAATACTCTACAATTTTTAAATAAAAAACAAATTGAACATTAAATTTTCCCGCCATTTTTGACTAACTTCAAAGTGGTTGGATGAGGTTAGTGATGTTAGAGCACGATTTTAATACCGATATCGACGAATTTTCGTAATTTTTTTAAAATGAAATTTATTTAATTAGTCATAATTTTCTACAAAAATCAATGCCAATTTACTATTTGATATTAACTCTCTATGACCTTGAATTTCCACAGCATCTTTCGGTTACACCCTGTAGATACTGTAAATTCTGCTATAAAGCGACTTTGCATCTCCTAACAAAATTGCCCTCTTAATAGTGATATGTAACTTACTCCAGCCTCATACATATGTAACACTCCCTATATAGAAGACATACAACTATATTACTCAGAGACCTGAGTAATTACGCACCAAATTGCTGTGACAGCCACTTGAAAATCCTATAATTTACCTAGTAAGGCACATCTAGTCCACTTTGTGACCAGTCAAAAACCTAGTAATGCACCTCTAGTCCACTTTGTGACCAGTCAAGTACCTAGTAAGGCACGTCTAGTCCGCTTTGCGACCAGACAAAATCCTAGTAAGTCACTTTGACCAGTTCAAAATATAGCAAGTATTTGTGACTTGCTAGGTTTTTAAGTGGTTAAAGTGTCATACTGGATATTTGAATTAGGAAATAGTGCGCAGGAAATGTGACGCGGCAAGTGACCTCAAACTGTTTTACAAAACAATGAAATGAATATATACAGAGTCGAAAAAATCAATGAGATATGAAGGGAACTACCTTAAATGCTTATGATAGTTCATTTTACTTAAACAAAACATTCTTTCATTTTTCTTAATATGAATTACTATACTTCAGATTGGTTGAAAAGCTAGCCTGAGCTGGAAAACAAATCAATTAAAAATTCCAGTTACTATCTTATTGTACTAATCCACAAGATCAATGATAAGTATAAAACCTCTCCAATAAACATTGATGATGATGATGATGAGTACAATTAAAGACGTCCATGAAAAATGTTTAGTATGTGACTACAGAATTTTTCTCTTATTATAATACCAAGTGACAAGACGAACAACTTGTGCGCTTAGTGGTAAACTACACGCCTGTCCATAACAGTTGCAGTACTACTCAGCGCTTTAAATCACAAAGATCTAAAAGCTGCCACTGTGTCCGACACCCTGAGATATAAGTTGACATGTACCATGTGCAATTGATTTCACCAGCACCATTATCCTTCCAAACATATAAGTGTAATCATTTTTGTGACATCAATTTGTTGATTGGTTCCCTACCTAATACTATTACTATTTTTACATTGAAGGGTAAATTGTTCAGGGCCAACCCTGATTTGTGTTTTTTGGCTCTCTTGTAAAATTTTGTCTAAAACAATTACTAGGTTTGGCTCTGGGGCAGCCGACAGGTTCTTTACTTTACTTCTTTAATTACCGAGTCTTGCCTCCACAATTAGTGGTCCACAGGCCCTAAATAAGCCACCCTAACAATAATAAGACTTAAAACAGACAAATTTGTAAAATAACTACAAACTTAAAGTGTGCAGTTTGGAACATAACCTCAATTCAACCACGATCAATATTTTTTAGGGACATGTACTTACACATGTACTGTGTTGGATGATATAATTGTTATAAGTTGAAATGATGATACATGGATTGGTACTGTATAAGATGAGTAAATAGGTATTGTAAATCCTTACCGTCCACGCATATCGAACCCGCCTCGCCCTCGGCCATTCATTCCTGGCGGCCCGCCGCGGCCACCACGCATCCCACGGAATGGTGGGCCGTCCATTTCAACAAAACTGTTGAACTGCACACGTATTTACAAATATTTAGTTGGTAAAAACCTAAAATGTCTCTATACAATTCTATTAACTGCAGCTATAAAGATTACACGGCGAAATTGCAACAAAATGGCGGGTTAAACGAGCTTGACAAACAGGCAAAGGCGGCAGAGCGGAGGGAGGCGGAGGGCGAACGAACGAAATAGGAACGAAGTCGAATGAGGTTAAATTGAACGACTTGTTTAGTGTTACCAACACCAACAGGCTGTGTCTATTAAATGGATCATTGATGATCATTCACTATCCTGCATTGGAGTCCGCCTTGTCATGTGCCGCGTAATGTAGGATTTTGAATGTAGTCGCAGCGTGCAAGCCGTCCTGCAATCTTGCAATACGTCCTGCGATACTCCGTAGTGTTTAAGCAATTTCCTGCCCACGCATTAAACTCGAATTTTATTTTATTCTCTTTCGATGACGGTGATAAACAAACATTAATTGGTATTTTTTATTACCACTGGCAACTACTTTGATATCTTACATTCCATTTGGAGCCCGTGGCAACAACAGGTTTTTTTATCCCATTTGACACCACATGGTAATATGTGGGTTTTTTCCCATTAGTCGCCAGTAGAAATAACCACTAACACACTGAGGCAGTGTAAAAAAAATCAAGTCACTGACATTGACAAGTATTAGCTTATAGGATAGAAAAAAAATATTCTTGAGTAATATTGGTTTGTGATTGACATCAACGATATATAAAAATGGCGGGTTTTAATAGTTACATTTTATACACGAATTCATTTTCATATTCTATGTGAAAATTACGGTTCTTGTCATTGGTTGAAACAATTATAACGTGAAATACTTTCACATATTATTTGTAGCATTTAACGTTTAATGCGAAACGCGAAATAGCTGATTGGTTTATTGATGTTAAATTTCACGTTTGAGTACGCTAAGCGCTAATGCTATACTCAGCATTTAGCAAGTATTATAATTGTAGTTATATTGTAAATTATAGTTTTGGTTACGTTTTAATACGATTTTGAGCGAATGGTGGAACGTTAGCAAAATTTCGTCTGATGAAGCTATTTAAATTAAGATATAATTAAGTACTTGGATTTATTTAGTTACTTTAGCGTGTGTTTAATTAATAAGTCGTTGTAATATTTGTATATAAAAGGACGAGTGTGTGCGTTATTATTAATTATTATGAGTGTAATTTACTGTCACCGAGTGTATAACCAGAAATAGAGACGAAATAAGGGCCATATATTCCTGGTAACATATTAGCGATACAGCTCTTATAAATATCAACTCCCGTTTGCACTGAAATAGACAGGCCAACTACTGACCTGTGCGTACGTCTCCATACGGAGAATTAGAATTGGAATATACATTCCAAAAAATATTCTGTATTTATTGTAATAAAGATAATATCTCTAATAATGTCGTGCTGTTCTATTCGGTGGTGTGGGAAAAACAGCAAAACATCTAATTACAAAACAAATTGAATCACATTTCATCGATAATTAATTATTAAATATGTAATTTTGCAATTTTCGTCCATTATAACAAATCTCAAGATAACTGGTCGATTTGAAATGAAACATTTGACGACACCCGTCAATTGTTTCGAACTCGGGCTAGCCAATCGGGGCGCAGTTGTCACGTTTGTGGTTGTCACAGTAATGTTATGGCAGAATAGTTTTCAAACAAATTAAATGACATTTCGTCTCTATTTTTGGTTATATACTCGATGTTTACTGTAAATAACCAGTGTAAAGTTTTGTGCAAATTGTAAATAGTAAATTGTTAAAGTATGAAGGGAAGCTCATTGATTTATCGTCTATAACCTGTAACCACTATATTATGTAATAGTTACATAACAAATGAAGTCGGTCGTAACTAACCATGAAAAACTGTAAACTATTCTATAGATAGACCATAGATGCTATACTTAACAAGTTAGCGCACGTCAACTATTTTACGTTTTTTTCCATTCGTTACATTATCACACGACCTTGAGCTGTTAAAAGTTATAATTTTAGCACTTTAAATATCGCGCTATAAAAATTTAGCATTTAGCGTGTTACGCGAATATAGCAGTTAATCGCATCTCTAAGACTGAAGTTATGAATAAGTGGATTCGCTCTGAAAGTTTTGGAGGGAAAAGTGTCGTTTTTATTTTGACTTTCAATTATTTTGTGAATCTAGTTTAAAGTGGAATAGGATAGTGCTATTGTGCCTTAATCGAAGATTAAAACGCGAAATTCTACGAATCTCGAACTAAAATACCCGTATCGGCCCGTTCTAAGGAATCCCGAGTCAATCCAAGCACGCCGCCTCAAATTGCCTATCCTCTTTGTGGCGGCCATATCTACAGAAAAATTTATTTTTATGTTTTCGGCTGAAGGACTTTGTTTCCATGGCCAGCAATAAATTAAGAAAAGAAGTGGCCGAGTGGCCGCTATTATTGGAAAGACTAATAACTATGATTCGCTCTGGAACTTTTGGAGGGAAAAGTGTCGTTTTTATTTTGACTGTCAATTATTTTGTGAAATCTAGTTTAAAGTGGAATAGGATAGTGCTATTGTGCCTTAATCGAAGATTAAAACGCGAAATTATACGAATCTCGAACTAAAATACCCGTATCGGCCCGTTTTAAGGAATCCCGAGTCAATCCAAACACGCCGCCTCAAATTGCCTATCCTCTTTGTGGCGGCCATATAATTACAGAAACATAATTAAACTTCAAGTTTAGGCTGATGGCTTTGCCAAAGCCTTAATAAAAAAAAAATTAAAACTAATAACTATGAAACGACGATAATTGAGTATCAGCGGACGAAATATAAGAAAAGCACCGCCAATGCCAATAAGAAGAAAGAAGATTTTATACTTAATTAAATAAGCAAATACAGTGGTAGTTTACTTTATTTGCTCAGTAGAAATGGACGATCAAGTTAAAATTTTAAAGTATTTAGTATCAGCTGAAAAGTTAGCAGAAGAGATATTATCCGATAGGCGTGAAATCGTACTGCTGGATAAGAGAAGAAATCAAAATCGTGAGGCACTAAGGAACATCACAAAAACGGGTCAGCGCAAGTGTTGGTTGACTGTTGGATCTGTCCTCATTAAACACGACTTAGAAGCAACAAAGACTCTTTTAGTGGCAGATCAAAAGCAACTAGATATAGATATAAATAAATTGCGGTCAGATCTTAAAGTAAAAGTTAACAATCTAAGAGATTTGGAAATACAGCCACCTGTACCAGGTCTGATGTTAGTGCCCATGTCACAGAAGGAAACACGGAGCCTGTCCAGTGCTGGCTTATTCTCATGACATGTCAATAAATTGACCTTTAGTGGCAGAATAAGGGTCGTATTCTAGAACTACTCAATGCTCAAGTCAGGACTTGAGTATGATTCAAAGCACTAGAAATCATACTCAAATCCTTGCCATTAGGATCGTATTTCCAGTGCTTGAAATCATACTCAAATCTGCTCAAATCCTGACTTGAGCATTGAGTACAGTTCTGGAATACGACCCTGAGGGTTGTACTCTAGAACTCTACTCAAAGTTCAAGTCAAAATTGCACTGGCAACACAAGCACTTGAAATACGACCCTAATGGCAAGGACTTGAGTATGATTTCGAGTGCTTTAAACCATACTCAAATCATGAATTGAGCATTGAGTAGAGTTCTAGAATATGACCCTGAGTCTCTGTTTCCACATTGTTATACTTAATAAATGTCTTGTTAGTTGTCCAAAAAATAAATAAATTATGTATTCACTTTACTAACTCATTGCGTAAAAAAAGTTATAAAGTACTTCATATGAAATTAATTATTATTATTAAAGGTATTTAAAGTAATGGTAGACTTACATGCTCGTACTCGAGAGAGAAAGGCTGCTTCAAAGGTAAATATTTTAATCCCTGTGATCTCATATGACCTGTGCCTTTAATTTCAGTTTGTACATGTTTAGTAGCAATACCTCCAACTAACAGAGATGGGAAATGAAGTTATGAAACCTGCATAACCTTTGGAAAATATGTTCCCAAACCCAGATTGGACTTGCATGGTGGTCTTATACCCCTCCAGAGAGGACATGTGCCAGGCAGTGAGACATTCAATTGGTTGCCAATGAGAGTGATTAAATTCCATTATTCCCACTAGTTCTGTAGACAGAAGTCTGGTACTTTTATCCCTATTTGTTCTGATAGTAAATAGACAGTTTTCTTTACAGAACTGAGAATTTTCTCTCCCACTATTTCAGTTGATAAATACACAGTTTCCATCTAAGCTAGGTGTTGTGATTCTCGAGATCGAGAAATTGTGCCACTGGAATAAGTTTATTTTATTTAACTGTTGAACGGCAGACCAACAAAATCTAGTTTTTTTGCAACTAGAACCGATTAAATAGACTTTTTTTCTCATGCTGGTTAAGGCATGAGGAAATTTGTTTTCATGTATCCAGCAGTGATGACTATGATATAGTCTTAAGAATTTTCTTGTTCCAGATCATTATTACAAGGGAATACTTTTCAACCTTGTGATATCTGTTCCATATATATAATCTAAGAGAAAAAATAAAAAAAATACAAATGTATTTTTGTGTTTTATTGGGCTAAGGTATTTTCAAATAAAAAGTCGTCAAATATATAATTTTCAATATGCACAGTTACATCTTTATACATGTAAAAAATATAGTACATAACAAATAAATAATAAATAGTACCAAATTTAAGGATTTAACCATTAGTAAAATTGTTGTTTGGTGATAATATGATACAAAGTGACTTGACTAATTGCCAATTTGTAGAGTGAAAAATCCCTAAAGATTAATTAATTAATTTACAATACCTAATTGTGTTTCATTTGTAAATTGTCGTATAATTTTAATATCTGTCAATGATGGCATGTCCTTTGTTATCAGTTATCATGAACATAAAATAATTGTATCAAATAATTTTTTATCATCACCCACATTTCTTAACGTTATAAACAATATAATATGGCATATATGAATAGTTTGATTTGACATACATTTTCTTTCAGAAATAAACAACTGCAACATATGTAATAATAAAACCTAAGCATTTATATTACCTTACGAATAATTGTCAATATCAAAACATTTTATTCTAGAGGTTATTGCTTATAATTATATACGTTCCTTACTAGCATTTGTATTGACATAACTATCTTCAGTACAAAATGCCACGTAATAAAAGATGAGGGTCCTCGAATACTCGAATGTAATAATATTTGTGGATTGTCTTTTGAGCACATAATAATCCGTCACTATCACAAGTCTTTGCATTTGAAATGGCCAGTAGTTTGCTATATGACTAAACTTGTGGCTTGTACAAATAAGGACCATACATAATGATGTTGTGTGTCGCTTCATCACAGTTCGTGCGCGCTCGCAACCGCTACGCCCTGCCACTACCAGTTGGCCATGCCTGGCTTGTTGAGAGTCATGAAGTATATCTGACAAGAGGATCCGCCTTTGGCTGAAGAAAAGAATACTTTGTCGTTGCGTTCACATAAGAACTTGAGTCGTTGTGCTTTCTTGTGCATGAACACGCCGTCGAGATGTCCGGATTCGACAGAACGGATCTCGATGGCTTTGTTGCCCCAACCCATTATTTGCCCTGTGCCAATGTATGCGACAGACGTCGGCATTTCTCCCCACTGAAAGAAAGTTAATCCATAAAAAAAAATACATTAACGGAATAAGTAAGTTACTTACGTTGTTCTTGTCTTGTACAGTTCACTTACCTGGAGTACAATATTTTTGCTAACTCGTCCATAAGTGTTGACGTAAACGCCTTCGTTATCGTAGCACAACAGTAACTGTACACCATTCGAGTTTGGAAGCGGTACAATACAGTGTGGTACAATAGGCCCCTGTATCTGGAAAAAATCCGATTTTTAAATAATATTGCCCTTGACAATTACACATTATATTATTACAGTATAGTTAACGAACTTACATGCTTTGGGATATAAATGTCGTAGACTGTGGCGTTGTCTAGGTCTACAGCGTGGAAGCCGTCAGCTGAGCCGTAAATTACTTTCAGTCTTATGCCTTCTTCAATAGTTAGATCAACCAGTAGAGGCCTGGAAAATAATTATTTTTTAGTGATTAACAACTTATAGTATCCAACAGAATGAGGTATAAACTAATAAACATAAATGAGGTGTTGAGGTGGTCATTGCGGTGTTGTTAGTTCTTACCTATGTTGCAATTCTCCAAAGTTCTTGAAGGCCATGAATTTGTGATAGGGTTTTGGTGCCCACGCGTAAATCTCGATGGAATCTTTCAGAGCGATCACTAGGAACTTGATGCGTTCATATTTCACGATTCTAAAGTGAACTGCGCCTTGCAGCTCACCTACGTTGATCCATCCATTCCTCCTTTCGACTTGCTAAAAGGTAAAAAAAATGTTAATTTTCTAAAAGGAATTAGAGAATTGTATACAAATATTTCTGCAGAATGAGGGTGTGCTTGTAAAAGTCGTTCTTTGTATTAAAGCACTAAAATTAGAGTTGTGCCTCAAGTGTGAAGCTATTGCATCAAGAAATGAATATATAAAATGATCACTAACATCACTTAGTCCGTCAGTACGCAGAATTTTAGACTTCAACCAGCTCAAGTAATAAACGCGAACGCGATTCTTCTTTCCGGATACAGTCACCAGAATGTTTTGTCCTTCTAACACTTCCATTTGTTGGAAGCGGCGTCGTGAGATCAATTGATACACCTTGCCCTGGCCAGAGCGGTCCAGCAACATCAAACCATTTTCCGTTCCAATGAGAAGATTGACTCCTGCAACAATCGCAAAAAAATATTAAGACTTCCTTATCTTTTCCAATTTCTTAACTGCCTCTGTGGCCGAACGGTTACCATGCTGGATTGCCACGCAGAGGTCCCGGGTTCGATTTTCGAGCCGGGACAAATATTTGTATGGTGAACATTTATTTCTCTCGTGAGTTTGAGTGGTTGTTTATGTGTGTGCCCATGGCACCCGCGATTTCACGATTTCACGACAGGCTTTCCGAGTGCGTGCTATGAGTGTGTGCGTGTTATTATTATTAATTAACAATAAAAATACAAATTGTATGCTAAACAAAATAATAGGATATTCACCCCATAACGCTGCACACAAAATCTCCGAGTTGAATCTCTTCTTGTATTTACGTATTTCAGGAGTGTCGGAAGAGAGATCGTGGCCAGTCGGCGTCACGTTGACATTGACGTGACTCTCACGGCGAGAAGAGTTTCCTCCGGAGCCGCCAGTGCCGCTGCCGGTCGACCCAGCTCCGAAACCGAACGTGAGGAACGAGCGCTGCTTCTGTTGCAAGGGAAGGAACTGTTGTTGGGACCCCACAGAGGAATTGGAAGGGGAATGTTGGAGGCCGTGCGCGATGGCAGCGCCCGCCACGAACGACTTGGACGGGGTGGACTGCGCAGACGACGGCGGGGGGTGATGGTGGTGCAAGAGGGGCGTGCCACTGGCCACGGCTTGCCTGTACTGTAACAGAGAAACGTACTAATTAGTCAGGAATCGTTGTAAAAGCTTAAAAAGCCACATTTGTAGACATAAACGATTAACTATACCTTTCCTACTTTTAAAATTGATAGTAAGATATTGCAAATAAAATTCTTTTGGCTAATAGCATCGGTAATTGTGATTAATGTCTTTTGTTAGTCAACTCCACCTCCCAGATTAGTTCGCATTTCAGTGATCAGAAAGTTATTAGCTCGGTGGTGGCTGAATATTATTTACGAATCTATGAATAGAGTATTATGGTTTGCGACAATGGCATGTATGGAAATGACATCAGGCAGTGTGAACTGAACAGTCAAAATATCCTAATATAAAAATTATTTTTCTCTTTAAATCATAATCATTAGTAAAGTGAATAATGTTTCTGAATTTTTATGTCTTTCAGCCAACATAATAACAAAAATAAAAACTAAATAATTACAACTGAAGTAAACTAATTATAAAAGGTCGTTTATTAAATTGTCTACAGTAATGTTAACTTTGAGGTGTTATTTTGTCACCCAAATACAATACATATAGCTGGAAAGTTAACGCTCAATTGCCCCGAACAGTTTGCTGTTATCTTTATGAATATTGACTAGGCCCCTTACCGATTACAATTGCTTTATATAATTCAGGACATTGGATCTCGTGTTACGGTTATTAAGCTACGTATATTGCCTACAAGCTCGGGTAAATATGTCTTCGCATTCGATGACCCAAGAGTTCGTACAGTTGAAAGCGCATAAGAGATGCATAAATACAGAAGTGAGTTACAGGTCTGGCTTTCAACATACAACAATCTATAAGCGTTTCCTTGTGCATCAGTCTTTTCGTACTTACGCAGTGTAATGCTGCCGGCAAACCGCAGCCTCGGCTCCGGGAGTTTGCATGAGCGACAACCATTATCACATTATTAATACATTAAAGCCACCACATGTAATCCAGGGACTTCTAATATTATATTGGGGATTTTAATTATGATTATTTATATGGTGAGTAGGATTCCGTAAGAATTATGATAATTATTGTAAACTGAAAGTTTATCACTGACTCTTATAAACAAAGATCAGAATAGGCAGGGTGTGGTCACATAAACTTATAATAATCAACATAAACAAGGACAAAATGTACATAGACTCCTAACAGTCCTTCGCGGACGTCCGCTACAGACGGTAAAATGTATTATGCCAGTCTGCGTTGCACTTAAGTGTAACCCTTAGTGCCAGCGCAAACCGACAGACGGCAAGGCAGAGGACATTACATTTATCAGTGTATATTTTATGCTATTAGAATAGCAATAAGGTATAAATTTCAATACTCTAAGACGCAGAGAGAAATGTGCCGCGATGCTCCGAGGTCGGTCTCAAGAGCATTGCAATTTATATTTCCTTATTTCAATTGAAATAGTATAAAATTTACATTGCTTACATTACAATTAATATCCTCTGCTTCTAGTGCGTCACTTTGCGCTGGTCCGTCGAGTGTGTAACCTCCCTCTGAATTAGTGGAATGATTACATCGGTATTTTTAACCGACTTCAAATAAAAAGGAGGAAGTTATACACTCTCATAGTGGTTCCATTGTCACCAAGTCAGAATCTGGTGAGGGGATCTCATGGAAATGGAAAAAGTCCGATAAGCAAACTTTTGCAACTAGCAATTACCTTACTAAAGTACTGCATTTAAAAGAAAAGTTCTATAATTGTAAACAAAAATGCGACTTTGTTTTGATGCTTTCTTTTTGTTTTTAAACATTCTGGGTCATATTATCCGCTTTATGTACATGAAGTTCAGGTAAAAATACTCTGCCTGTTAAAATCTCAGCTTATAACATCAACGGGCGAAAATTACAATTTTGATGAAAATGCACTATTTACATGACAAAACAAAACATAAAATTCTAAATCGAACTATGTAAATTACTTTTTTTACGTCCATTCGTGCCGAAGGAAACGATATGTAAAACAATCTTCAAACTTACGGAATTGTATGACCATATAAAACAATCATTTGCAGAATTTAATTAAAATTATAATTGTACTACAGGGGTTTCAAATATTACGACTAGAAAGACAATGCCATATTCTGCCAAGCGCTAAAATCTCATCTGACGGTTAACCTAATCATAAATATCTACGCATATAAAGTGGTCAATTTTATCAAAAGATTTGCACATTTGTCAAAAATCAATTTTATTTCAATACACTACTGCATAATCAAAACAAATAAAAGTGCACCTCATATTATGTCGTGTGATTTTTGTCAAATGAGTAATCAGAACAAAGGCTAAAATTGACTTATTACTCATATCATTTTAAGGCTGATGTACAAAGACAAGTTGAACTTTGTGTAAAATGTCTTGTTTACTAGCTTCAAATAAAAGTTTCGACTACTGGGGATAACTTTCAGAAGTTCCCGTTTCAGTGTCTTTTTTGCAAAGCCTTTGGACCCTTTCATGGCCCGTAACAGCATTTGCCGTAAAATGAAATATTTTTATTTTAGTTTTACAATATGGATCTCAAAAAAGCATCTACGGGCTTTACAGCGAGATTTCCAAGTGCTTTCTATATAGTTGTCGCCTACTGCTTTCCCATTGAGAAGTATCAACAACGTACTGACTAAATTCAATTATTTATATACATAGAACATTTATTAAATCAAGTAAGCCGTTGTGGCAAGAACAGTGTTGTTTTATATATTATTTAAATATTGTCCATGAATGTGTTAACATTATACTATAGATGTTTAAGCCTATTCAAAGTGGTCTGTATAGTTGCAAAACTATGCAGGTAGTGCAGGTTTTTATTTGTATATAAAATTCGACAAAGTACCTAGCAGGTAACAGTAGAAGGCAGTTTTGTCACAGCAATAAGTCTAAAAGTCGTGTCCAAAGTTCAAAATATCTTTCTACATATAATTTATTATTAATTATCTATGGCAATCTTGGCATTGTCTGTTGCTGAATAAAACCATTATTAACAATCAATATGAAGCACGCTTTTGTGAGAATGTCACGGACACAGCCCCCATGAATAAAATGGAATAATGTAGTGTTAAAAATCGTAACGTGACTTTAGCCACCCGTGTCAGTATTTACTGGAGCATGTAATGTAATACATGTAACAATTTGGAACAAACTAAAGTCTCTTGGCTTGGATAAAACATTTAAGCCAAGAGACTGTACTGTCAATTCTGATTATAGAATTCCTTTAAAAGTTTTCCTTTAAAATTGCCAGAAACATTTCAAAGAATAAGGTGTAAGTTATATAGCTAGCACGCTTTAGTATCGCTCCAATATTGAAACCGTGTTTAATATAATTGCAAGATTGTACATTTCAATCTGTACATTTTAGGTAATTTCGTACAAGTGCGGTAGTAAAGAGTGCTGACAGATATAGCTTACCGATAATCTGGATAAAACTACGTAAAATTAAAGCATGGAAGGCGGAATGGTAATTCACCTCTTCACTGGTCGATTTGTCGTGACGAGGCGGTGTGGTAGGCTGTCCGGCCTGGCTGAGGAGATCAGGCAGTACAGAGCTTGTTCGCGACCCGCTACCCTCGTTGGCTCCGCTCGAACGACCCTACGGATTCACAATAACGTATAATAACTTCAATAACTATAAATATACAATTTTAACTTGGACACAATATTGTCAAGGTATTTTCATTTAATAACCTGAACTTTACGCACTTGAAACGATTGAACTTTTATTTTTGCTAGAAAATAAAACACTTCAAAATGTATTATAGAATTGCACGACAAAGATGTGTCACTTCATGTGAATAGGAGCGTATAGCAGCCTTTAGCAATATTAATGGTTTCGATTACAGCAACAGTTGGACAAACACAAACAGGGCAGCCAAATCATGCAGTAAACACATTCGCAATCGGATCTTTCCGTCCAGGCTCGTGATGTTTCGTTAGGCGTTCATTCTCAAATGTTAATGGTCGGTGTTCATGGCGCAACATTCCATTGATGTTACTGGATCGAAGACTCGTTGGCAGGAAGACGGTAATCGCGCAGATAATTTTATTTATTAGTTCTTTTGTTACTATTTGCATTCATGTATAATGTTAGAAATAAAAAGCTGTGAAAATATTGTTTATTTTCGGTCTAAATAAGTCAAATTCCCCAAATCATACTATCATTCAGCATATCATTGCATAACAATAAAATCTAGTAAATTACAGGCAATTTGAAACCTCACGCCAATTGGTAAGACGTGTGAGCAGTACCGAACTAAAATAAAGTAATTAAATATCATATAAAAGGGGCAACATGGTATATAATAGATACTTACATACTTTTAATATAGGGTTCAAACTGAATCGAATAAATTATTAGATACACAGAAAGAGCATCTCATCAACCATCACACCGGGCACACCACAAGAACCAAAACCAACTACATAACTTGTCAAATAAAAGCATCACCATTAATCGTTAGTTCAGTTAAGTTCCAACCCATACCAAACTGTAAGTAAAACATGTTAATAAACTATCCTGAGCTGCATTTACCTGATCCTGTGCGAGTACCGCTTCCTGCCCATTACTTGCCATGAGCTCTGTGTGTCGGTTATAATGTGAGTTTCTTCGAAATACTATATCGGATTCAGTCTTTTCTCTGCGAGGTTTCATCATGCAGTTTGGTTCGGATTCGTTGTTAGACGGATTTTTGTTTTCTAGCGTGTTGGCAGTGATATCTGGGGTACCGGCTTTCTCAAACGATGTGCTACTCGTAAAGCAGATGCTGGTGGCAGGTGAGTCACTATTCAGGCTGCTCTGCCGGCTCGGGCCGTTGCTTTTCTCGCTATCTTGCCTAATTAGCGCAGCGACGTTTTTTAATGCATCTATGGGATTACTCATGGGTGTTCTTTTGTCACCTACTTTTTTGTCAGTCTTTTTCACTTCGCCCTGTGCGGACATTTTCAAACTGTCATTCATTTTAATGAAATCTGTCAATACAGGCTCGCCAGAGGGAACGGGCTGATTCTTCCGGAATATGCCGCTGGACCTCATCTGTTTACTTGCTCCGGCCGAGTTTTCGTGCTTAGGAAAATATATAGCTGAGTGTCTGGTGCTTGGCAGTGGAAAAAGATCAGAGTTTTCTCTTCTAAACCCTCTAAAGAACCGATTTGGAGAATTCAGCTCTGAGTCTTGTTCCTTTTTAAATTTCAATATATCGGACAGCTTCTCCTGCGTGGTCTTTTCGCTGGGCTTCTGAAATAGTTGCTTGTGGCGAGAAGGCGGAGTTGCAATGGCTTTGTACTTGGCCCACGCATCTTCCATTTCGATCCGCGACTGTCTTTGTAGTTGCGCCCGCTTTTGTTCGGCTTCCTTGGCCGGTTGCACCTTTTCTTTCGCGCCCTCCTTGGCTTCAGTGCTTCTAGAGGGAAAGAATCTTGCGAAATCCCAATCTTTGAGCAGCACCGCTTCATCGACATCGGACTGCCGTTTATCATGTTCGCCATTATCTTTCTGGTGTTTTTCACATGTCCAATACAAAAAGTGAACATAAATAAATGGAACACAAGATTTTAAAAAAGGAAGATTGCTCACTTATCTTACATTGGCGTGAAAGTAATGAAACTAAAGAAATAAGAGCCGTAGGTAGACTACGCTAACAAATAGTGACAATACCATTTATCACTACTAAACCATGTAGGAAGTAGAAAAGACAAAAATTTATTGTATTTTTTATAGGTGAACTGGTGACTACGCATTTTTGCAATAAAATCGCTGTATGACTGATGATACTTATTATGCTTGATGTCAATGTCATCAATCATCGAATGAAACTGAGAGGCGCCCTATAAAATCTGAACAAATGGACACATAAGTTAACACAAAGCGCTGTGAACTACAGGGAGACTTACCCGTTTCATTACGAGCGTGCGATCAGGGTGCGCGTCGTCGTCATCAGGTGTCGGGGGCAAGGGACGCGTGGGTGCCCCCCCTCCTCCCCCGCTACCAGCACCATCTTCGCTGACGGCGCTCAGCCCCGGCCTGTAGCAGAACTCGGGACTGACAAGCCGAAACAAAAACAACGGGACCGGAACAGGATACAAATAAATAGGATTTTAAACAAATATCATAAAAGCAAATAATATAATTGGGGAAACGCATTTGATTAGATAGGATTCTGGAAACGAATAATATTATTGGCTTATAATAATAATCTATACCTATTACCGGTATTTTGTACTTTATAATCACGCACTTGTGTGCAATTTTGCACACACTGAAAAGCCTAAAACAGTTACCTTGTTCAGTACCTGAGTAGAACACAGAATTACGATTTTCATGGTTACACTGTGTATGATATTCATTCATAAAATCAGCAATTAAAGGCTAGACCTAGACGACCCAAGTCGCGTTTCACATCAAACAGAGTGACCTGTAGTAACAGCAAAATCTCAAATAGAACACAGAATGGAATAACTTACAGCGGCTTGGGCGGATCGCTGGCGAGCAGTGTGCCGTCGTTGCGCACGCGGCCTCCGCTTTCTTCGGCGTCGGAGTCACTTTCAGAATCCTCGAATGTCGGCTCTGGCGGGTTGCGTTCTACAGGCGGCCCTATACAATAACAATAAAATATCACACATGCCTAACCTACAAACCTTCTTTTTTCTGTTACTTCGCCCCACAGAAATCTAATTAAATAGGCATATTTAGATTTCTATGTTTCGCCCCCTATTCATATCTGTTACTGAGTGTATATTGCCCTCTTTATCATAACAAACGCAATCAACATTTTCAGCGAAACGGATTTTTTTTATAATACTTAAGTGACGAGACGAACAAGACGTGCGCCTGGTGGTAAGCGATACGCCTATTCATAACAGTTGCGGTGCCATTCAGAGCTTTAAAACGCAAAGATCTTATGGACACTGCTGCTGCGCCCGTCATCCTGAGACATTTTATTTATTATACTGCCTGGCGGCAGAAATAGGTAAGGTGGCAGTACTTCCCCGGACGAACTTTTCACAAAGACATCTACTGCTACTAATATCTCATATAATAACATATCAGCGAAACGAGATCTTCAACGCTCTAATCTGTTTTTGAATATCTTATTTATTAATTAAATTTTTATTGAATTGATATCCAATTATTTTTTGTGAAATTACTCCACTAGTTTGTTATAATTAGTAATACAAAGATCGAACACTCAGAAAAAATTCCTTCGATCCGGTCGGATTCGAACCGACGTCTTCTTGCATACCGTGCCAGACGCTATACCAACTAAGCCACGGAACGAACCAACGGACCTCACGAATTTTTCTATGTGCTTGCGTCGTGTCTTTGTACTTGGTTTTTCAACGACTTTTTAGTCGTAGCGCCATCTATGAGAAATCTTTGACAGATTTATCACCCAGTTAGTACCTTTACAGCTACCAGTCCTGGCGAGAGATGTCGCTATTCACTGTATTAATTAAATTTTTATTGAATTGATATTCAATTATTTTTTGTGAAATTACTCCACTAGTTTGTTATAATTATTAATAAAAAGATCGAACACTCAGAAAAAACACTCAGAAATAATTTCTTCGATCCGGTCGGATTCGAACCGACGTCTTCTTGCATACCATGGCAGACGCTATACCAACTAAGCCACGGAACGAACCAACGGACCTCACGAATTTTTCCATGTGCTTGCGTCGTGTCTTTGTACTTGGTTTTTCAACGACTTTTTAGTCGTAGCGCCATCTATGAGAAATCTTTGAGAGATTTATCACCCAGTTAGTACCTTTACAGTACATTTAAGGAATTTTTTCTGAGTGTTCGATCTTTGTATTAATAATTATAACAAACTAGTGGAGTAATTTCACAAAAAATAATGGAATATCAATTCAATAAAAATTTAATTAATACAGTGAATAGCGACATCTTTCGCCAGAACTGGTAGCTGCAAAGGTATTAACTGGGTGATAAATCTGTCAAAGATTTCTCATAGATGGCGCTACGACTAAAAAGTCGTTGAAAAACCAAGTATAAAGACACGACGCAAGCACATAGAAAAATTCGTGAGGTCCGTTGGTTCGTTCCGTGGTTTAGTTGGTATAGCGTCTGGCACGGTATGCAAGAAGACGTCGGTTCGAATCCGACCGGATCGAAGGATTTTTTTCTGAGTGTTCGATCTTTGTATTATTAATTATATCTTATTTATTTTCAGTTTTATTGTTAAGCAATTGCGTAATTATTTTTTTATTTTTTTGTGGCAATAAAACTTTAGGTGCCAATAGCTCGAAAGTTACCAAAATGCAAATGCGTTAGTTATGATTATGATAAGAACGGCAGTGTACTGGTCTCAGTACCACTGCGGATATGTTTGCTCCGGTTTGTCCGATTCTTCTTTTATTTCCTGGACCTTTGTTAGTAACGATTACTATGGTAACTTATTGTTACAATACGATGTCTGAATACTGAAACACTTTGTCTGTGTGCAAGGCAAAATGTGGATAAAACGCACGTTGAAAACATTTTTTTTTATAATACTACGTGACGGGACGAAAAAGTGTGTGTTTGGTGGAAAGCGACACGCCAGTTCTTAACACTTGCAGTGTCACTCAGAGCTTTAAATCACAAAGACCTCAGCCACTGCGTCCGATACCCTGAGTCGATAAGTCCCATGTGCCTGTAATTTCACCAGCACTGTCTACATCACTGCTTGCCGGGAGAAATAGGTAAGGTGGCAGTACTTTCCCTAGACGAACTCTTTCACAAGGACCTCTATTGCTACTAAAACATCGCAGTCGCTACACGAAACTCTCGTTTTTAAAAATTTAAACTTAATTTCAGAAAAGAAATGAAACTGTTTTTCCGGATTTAAATCGCGTATATTTGTTTTTTCAAACAAATCGACGTCGCGTAAACAATGTTGCAGTCTGCGAGCATGTCATAGATAAACCTACACATTCAATGAAGTTTGACAAACCCCAGGTCCTTATCTACCCAGGATGCTGCGAGAGGCCATTGAAATTAAAAAACATCCTAATTTCAACAGGGAAGATGGTTTCTCCGTACCACCAGTTTGGGATCCAGTATTTACTCTAATGAAAAATTTTAAACATACATAAGACTGCAGTACTAATTAATATGTTGTAATTTATTCTAATTTCTATTTAATTGATAATAAATTGAACTTAATAAAAATTCATGCAATAAAATAATTTGTAAAACTTAATGTAGCGTAAATTGGAATGTTTTCTTTGTAAAATTAAAAATAAGGTATTTAATTAATAACTATTGTAACTATAGTGAAAAAATAAGGTTGTTTGCATCAATATTAGACATAACTGGTTGAAGACTGTACCACCTCAGTCAACCGTGACCATGGGACCTGTAAAGGGCCCGGAACGTCGGTTTGTTTGAAAAAACAAATATATGCGATTTAAATCCGGAAAAACAGTTTCATTTCCTATGTGTAACAATCGCGAGAACCTAAGAACACGTTATTAAACTTTAATGTCCGATTCTACCCTCTGTATTAACTAAAGCATATTTTGCATTTTGTAACTTTCGCGATATACACACCTCGTATTTTTTTCTTTGAAAAATGTCAATTACACTGATTTTGCTTAACAATAAAACTTCTTCTTGGCGTGTCGACTCTGACGTGTATATTTGTGACGACCAGTACTCAGCGACTGAGGTAGCATTATCAGGGGCGTTGTACAGATCCCCGCGTGTGCAGGTGTAGGGACACGCAGGGCAGGACAAAAGATGTACCATTGTCTGGAGAGAGACCACATAGACATGCGCTCTTCTCTCTCTGCTTCAGCCGACTTGGATCCGTAGCCTATTTAGGGACTTTCAAGTTTGCCAAGGTAGATCAAGCCCAGGAGGTAGGTGTTTCGACAGCGGAATGAGTGATGCCGTGGGGTATTTCTCCTTCAAGAGACTTATTCGGGCCTGCTTAGGTCCCCGTCCAGAGGGTATAACAATAAAACTGAAAACTTAATAAGATATTAAAAAAATCGTTTATTGTGGGTTTTAGATCTCGTTTCGCTGATTCCAGATACGTTAATAACTCCATTCCGCTAAAAATGTTGATTACGTTAGTTAAGCACGGCAAGTTTGCCAAAAGAGTCAAGTCTTTCGCTTAGTTTGCGAAAAAATGTTATTTACCAGATTTACTAAAGACGATAAACTCAATCAAGTAGTGAAGTCAATCAGTATGGTCTTTAGTCATAGATTGCCTATTTTTGAATGAAACGGACAAAAAAAATGTCTATGGGTACATTGACAAACCTTGTCCGTTGGTAGGCGCACGCGGTGGTCGATTCGGTGGCTCGTTACCTGACACCACACCGAGCTCGTTGAGTTGCGCCGCCAGCTTATCCAAGTCCTACAAAATGCACAACGATGCCTTACTTTCTCAAGCTCGTATCTTATAAACAGTGGTTATTCAGGAGACGGGAAAACTTTATATCTATTTTAAATTTCTTATCAAAGGTGTTAATTTGGCTTACTTTAAGAATAGGTAAAAGCTAGTGTGTAAATATGAAGGAAATGTGATGTGAAATTTGCCTGCAAAATTTGTATATACAATCCATTTTTTGCATTTCAGAAACTTTGTGCTTTAAGATACGAGTTTGAGAAAGTAAGGCGACAATAAACTAATATAGTAATGTTTAAATTGTTCCTAAATTTATTTCTTCCGATAACTGCGAAGGAACCATTTCTGGGTCCAGTGGTAAGTTTGTCACTTGTCAGTGTTTCATAACACTACTGGCATGCAAATAAATTTGTTTTGTTTACGAAGAAACCAATTACATGGTTTCAAATTAGGAAAAACCAAGGTATTTTAAACAACAAAGTAACGAAATTGACTCGAGGGAGACTTCCCAGAACAACCAAGCCAGAACCAGTTAAATTAATTTTGTTTTCCTAAATTGATTCCAATAGGCGCTTAAAGGGCTAACAGCTGGTTTAGAAAAGTTGTCCATAAAAATAATGCTGTTATAATTACCAACAAATATATACATACAACAATGAGACTACACTACTATGTAAATAATGAAATAAATAGCAATGTAAAAATACGAAAACCAACCTCGGGCCTCCGCGGTGGAAGCTGACGGTGCGCAAAGAAAACAACAGCGTTACATGGAAACAAACAAAAAAGCAAATCAAATATATGTGGTCTTAATAAACAAAAAGTCAACTGTAGTGCTTATAAAATAAAAGATTTTATGAAGTGCGAATTATTTTTAAATACAATTGCGTAGTCATATGAGCTGCATTCAGCAACTCACAGCTTTCAAAGAATAGTGGCCCAATTAAAAATAGTTTCCTTCTGCTATATTTATTACTGAGATTTGTTCAGAAATTACTTAAATTTTATTGACAATGAGACACCGAGCTTTTCATTGGTCAAAATAATCATATGAAAGCGTAGCGATTGTCTACGGTAAGTCGATTTTGCGCGGCAGACACGTCTTAGTTTTTTCCATCTTCCTGATGAATTAGGTGCTTTTAAGACTGGCCACTATTCTAGAAAGTCATAGAACTGTTGCAGCTGCAGTGCAATTATGCTGATTGCATCACAATTGTAAGCAGACTGCACTAGCAGTTGCGTTGACTGCAACCAACTGCAGTTTAACAATTGCAATGCAGTTGGAATGCAGCTTGTGTGCCTATACCATTACTAGACTCTAAGTAATCGAGCATCGTAAATTAGCATACTAAAGTACGTTAGAAATGTTCGTGGAATGGTCAACATCGACTAAGAAACTTTGGGGTACAGTCAGCATCGTAATTATCTGAATGGGCAAAAGAACAAAAATTTTTGATTCAACTTTTAAACGTACTTTAATTTAGACAATGTATACTACATTACATGAAGATATAAAAGAATGTCTACATATTTTTTGAATTTAATATCAGGACTTAAATATTGTGGGACTCAGTGAGTCTCTTCGAGACCTTAGACGTTGCAACACATCAGAGGTAAATAAAAGTTATTTGATTTTTATTATATAATTATTTCATATTTATTTTAATTAATTATACACGATAAAGTCCCGATATTAAATTCAAATGATATGTGAAAATTGTTAAGTCTAAAATATTATTTTATTTGGATAGTAGAACACTAATAACAAAACTGAAAATGGATTAGTACATACCATTGGTTTGAAAATGTGGTGGGAGCCCCGTTGCGGAGGTTGTGGGCCGCTGGCAGGTGGCGTGCCATTGTTCGAGCCTGAACTGTTCGACGAGCCCGAAGACTTTGGCGTCGGCGGAAGAGGCCTGCGTATGCAATACCAGATTATATCAATATTCTATCCACATATTTGACGACCTCGGTAGCCTAATGTTTTACATTGTGGACGCTGAGTGCGGAGATCCCGGGTTCAACTCCCTGTAGGACCAATTTGGGAAATTAATTTCTCTAAATTGGTTCTGGTCTGGGTGCTCTGGAAAGTACCCCATAATTCCGTTGCTCTGGTACTCATTGTACAGGGAATTCCCTAGTTTGAGACCAGGCAATTTGTGTGGTTGGTGGGCACATAGACATATTTCTCGGAGAGATCAAATATAACATTTTATGGCTAAAATATTAGCCAACAGTTCACGGAAAGTCCTTCATCTTTTATCAATCATCTGTATGCGTTCTAAAAAAACTCGCATAGAAATTTTAGAGAGCATGGGAAAATATTAACTCAATAATTAACACACTGGTTGTAAAGAACTAGTTCTATGACGTCACAAATGTAGAAAATAAAAAACAGGTAATACTGGATTTTGTAGGTGTCTTTGTTGATAATATGAGGCATTGTTTTCAATTACTTGTGAATTAATTAGCACGAAATAGTACACTAAGTTCGATATTCGAAGCACTGCAGGTTTATTTTGTATGATACTTTGAACAGTGTCAGTTTGTGTAGACCGAATGAGTGCAGGGCGTAAGTATTAAGGTAATTACCTATATCTATTAGGCGGCTGTGCCTGCGGGTCGGGCACAACGATCAGTCTTTGCGGAATGGAAGGCCTCGCTGGCGGCCCAGGCTCTGTTTTTTCAACGTCACAGGTTAAGAAAAAACCACACAAATATTATTAACAGATTGGTAGACTTTAGAGCGACGCGTCAGCTTTCTACGTTACAAAAATTTGGCTTTAAAAAAACAGATGTTCCACAGCCATCCACTCAACCAAAATATTTGAAACAGCCGTTTTTTTAGCTTTCATTGGGGTTCTCCCAGAAAAACTTGCTTGTATTAATAGAATTTCTCTTAGGCTCATTCTGCGTGTAAATTTGTAATTCCTATAGTTTTAAATAATAAACGTTACTGACGCATTGTTCGAAAGGCTACCGTGAGTCTATTCCAAACAAAGAATATAAATGATTCCTAGAAATAGATCCAATAATATTAACATCGAACATCTGGATAACTAAAATGTCTCAGACGCAATCTTACAGTCCATTCATTGTTTATTTTATGTAACTGATTGTATCTCAATATCTTTATTCTTCATGTTAATTATAATAATGATTATTGTACCTTAGCGATGCGCGATTATGAATGATTTCGATATTCGACTCGTTAGTAATCGCTAATCCTGTCATTCGGATGTCAAATTAGTAACCTACTAATTTTTGTATTCGAATGATTTGAATGATCATTCATTACTAATTAGTAGTACTAATCCATAGATTTCCTAGAGCATTTCTGCTCGTGATCACCTAGCCCTCTCTGACATAATGGTAAATACTGTAAATGTGACGGGGACAGGGATATTTTGGTATGGACATGATGAATGAGGTGTTCCGATATAATAATCATTCGACTCGTGCACCCCACCGAATGGCATTCGCATTCGGTATTGTTAATCATTCGAATGATTAGTTTTAGTAACATTCAAAGTCGCGCATCGCTATTGTACCTTTGAATATTTAAATGAAACAGTGGTATATATACAAGGCTGCTAGCAAACAAAAACAGGTAATAGAAATAAAATAAAATTTTTTAGATCTAAAATTGATATCAAACAACGTCTCGAGCTCTCTCATGGTAACTTAGGGTTATTTGTAAAATACTAATAACCTCGTAGGACTATATTACTAATATCATAAACAATAACTTTTAGTCCATGAGTATTTACAAAACGTAACAAATTTACCAAAAATATTATATTTGTTGCACTATCTGACGCTTTTTAGATCTACATTTGGTAGTAAGTTCAAACGTGTAAGCGTCCTCCCCGACATCCCCCATTATTTACGCTAGTGCTTGCTTTTGTTACCGCACAGAGCGAGTTTAGAGCGGTTTAATTAAATATTTTTATTTTTGTACGAAAGTAAAATATGACGAGTTATTCGAGCAAAAGTCATGGAGCAAATGTTATTATTATTATTATTTTTTTGTAAAAAATAAGTGCGCATTTGACCTCCATCTCACCTGATGGAAAGTGACGATGAGGTCGAGGATGTAGCATGCACTCTTAAATAATGCATATTCTCTCTCGCCTTGAAAAGGTCCTAGTTATAGCGTTCAGGGAACAAGTCTGCAGGCAGGGAATTCCACTCCCCAGCCGCTCGCCATACAAATGTGGAAGCGAAACGCTTCGTGCGAATTTAGGGAATATCCACAACACAGGGGTGGAACCCCAGCCCAAGTCTATTCTCCCGATGATGGGAAGGGGAAGACGGAATCAAATTATGTAATTCCATCGCACTATCCGTGATATAGCCTCTAGAATACCGATAAGCTAGCAACTCCGCGGTGGTGTTCAAGGCTCTGCAGCTGTGTCTCTACTAATTCCGAGGTTGGTTATGCTGTTAGTAATATACTCCTATCAGGTTCTTAGCATTTTACAAATAACCCTGTACCGGTCCCGGGAAAACTATAGAGAGCCGGAAACATTAGAAATGAGAAATACACGCGAATAGTTTAAATTCCAATAGTTATTGCGACAAACTGTGAATTTGATATCAATAGGTCTTCTTTACTTTTGCTTCAAAGGGCAACTCACATAGGTCTCTCACGAACACATATTCAAAAGTGGTAACTTCAAGATATAACCTTTAAAATGTAACGCTATAACTAGCAGTATTCGTTTTTTAGGTAAACTTGGCATTTATGAATAATATGTGACAAATTAACAGTTCTGTTTGTCCCCTCATGTAGTATTAAAAAAATAATAATGAAAAATATGCGTAAAAATAATAACTTTCTTATAAAAAAAACTGACCTCAACAGTTTGTGAAATGACATCTATTTGCCAAGTTTCATTGAAATCGATTAACGGCAAGTGGGTGAATTTGAACAAACTGGATTCATCAATAATTTGCCACCATTTATAAACGGAATATTTTCTCCAAATTTGACGAGACCTCTACAGAGGTACCCTTTCCAACAACAAAAAAAAAAGAGAATCATCGAAATCGGTTTACAATGTAGGAGTAAACGCGTAATTTACACAAAAAACCCATCGACTTGAGAAACTCCTCCGTTTCTTAGAATCGGTTAAAAATAAGCCGTCATATTTAATTGATACATTCATTAGTCATCGAAAGTGTTATAATTTCCTTTGTGATTATTCTGCTCTGTTTGGAATAGACTAGTTGACGAGTTACGTGTTTAGTCAAGTCACCTGGAATTTCCTCCCTCTCCTCGCGCTTGCTGTTGCGTTTCGGCGGCGGCTGCGGCTGCGGCGCTTCGGGGGCTGGTCTAGGTTAATCGACACGTAACATTTAGTACACAACGGCACAGTTAATAAGGCGTTAAATTGTTTAACAAAAAACATTAAACCAAGTATTGAGGACATAACACGCGGTTAAAGTTAGGTAACAAATTTCTAATTACTAGTTCTATTCTGCCAGTGTATAGTCCTTAGTTTATATGACGTGGTGCCTCCTTTGAAAATATGTAGATTGTTAGTAGTGTTGTGTGTCAAATTATTGGTAGTCATGTACGAAGAGTGATCAATAAATAATATTAAAATGATTCCTGATCTTTTCTGAATTATTTATTTTGATAGTTTTAGGAAATATGCGAAGTTTAGTTAGAACCAGGTTGCATTTATTGTAAATTATTTTCTGTATGATAGACAAATTGATTTCAGAGTTAGGCTCTTGTCGGTGTAAGTTAGGCTATCCTGTGACAACATAAAACCACTAAAATACCTGATCTATTATATGAGCTTTTTAATATACTCCATAAATTCCAAAATGATCATGGATAAAAAACATTAACCAATTTCATGTTTTTTTATTCATGAACATTTTATATAGGTATGTCATGTTTTCATACAATGTATGCATGTGTAAATATTAATAAATTTGTATTAAAAATATTAGGATATTTCAGAAGGCTTTTAAAGGAAATTTAGAAATTTGAGTATGGTGTAGTGGGTACAAATAACAGCTCACAATAAGAGAGTAAATACATTTTGCAATATAGAATGCAATTTTACTGGTGCCATCACTGTTTGTTTATGAAAATAGTTTAGGTCATTACCTCACTGTTTTTGGGTCATATAACCCCAAATTTAAAAATGACAAGTAGAAAATAGTAAATTTTTATTTGGAACGTAAATATTTGAGATATCTTTCATGAGAGTTGAAAACCTTATTTTTTTCGACTTGTTAGTATCAATAAGTTTCTGTAGCTTTCCATATGTTTAAGTATGGAATTGTAAGTCTTACCTGCCCTCCTGTATCTGCTGGAAGTTGCGCCGCAGAGTATCTCCGCCTTGATGCGGCGCGTTGTGTACGATGGAGGAAGGTTCCCCTGCCACCGCATTTTCCTCCTCTTCGCCCTCTGATCCAGAGTACTTGTACTCCTCGCGCACAGAGTTATCCTGCTTTCTCTTCTTACACCTATCTATATGATCCTTCAGCTGTATTCGCACCTGCCTTTCTGTAGGTTGATCCCTGTATTAAAGAATATTTATGGCTTATATTGCTTCCATAAGAAATAGCCATTACATATTTTTTTGTGATTCCAAGTGACGGGACGAACATGTCGTGGGCCTGGTGGTAAGCGACACGCCTGTTCATGACAGTTGCAGTGCCATTTAAAGCTTTTGAGCAGTACTTACCTGGATGAACTCTTTTACAAGAAGCTCTGCTGCTACTAAGGGAAAACTGTCCCTTGCTTTTTGTAGATAATTTGGTATTTGTTTGTTATTGTAATAACGAAGGGATGTGCCTGATAGAAACAGATGGAGGTAGATCACCCACTTCAGAAGCTGACCACGAACTTCAGATGTGAGGGAACGACTAGAGACTAATAATGAATGTTAAAATAAAATGAGAAGTCTCGACTAAATTAAATATACAGTTTTTAAGGCTCTGAACATAAGTTTCAGCCAAGTTCCAATGACCTTTGTAACTGTAATGCTCCACATAATTAGTACAATAATAGTGCTACGTGATTATACAATTACTATTTACGAGTATAAATGGCGTACCTTATGAATGGATGTTTTAATAATTGTTCAGTGTAAGGTCGTTGATGGTAATCCTTAACAAGAACAGTTTCAATAAAGCCGTGAAACTTTTTGGCCCATTTCTTTGACTTTAAACGGGGAGGTGGATTTCTGCAATAAAAAGCTTCAGTATTACTAATCATCGGATATGTCGCATGCCAATGTCAATTGGTGATAAATTATTATTATTACCGTGGAATAAGGAATAGAGCTCTCATAGGATGCAGATCACACAGAGGTGGTTGACTCTCTGCCATCTCAAGTGCAGTGATACCGAGAGACCAAAGGTCAGAGCGATTATCGTAGGTAGCATCGGGGTTCTCATCGCACGCAATCACTTCAGGCGCCATCCAGTAGGGGGTACCAATAAAGGTGTTTCTCCTTCCAATTGTTCTGTCCAATTGAGCAGATACACCAAAATCCACTGCAAATACGAAACATTTAAGTAGAACTCAGAGTACAAAGTTAACGAACAACGAGTTCTTAAAACAAATTACGTAAGTGACAAAACAACAGTAATGCGAGTCATCGAATCAAGCAAAATCAATTTTAAACGCTTGATATGCCTTCCTAAGAGCCCTCAAAATGTACTCTGAGTACTAAAATTTGTTGGGTTCTGTCACAAGGAAGTTACAAAAATTCTATATAAATGAAGAGTCATAACAGTACTATCAAGTATGAGTCACTGTTATCAAGTTATTTAAATAATAATGCCTGAGCCTGAGAACACAATTATGTATCAGGAGAATGAAAGTCAATCGTATTATGAATAAGTAATAATTAGTTTTTGATATTTTTTTTACCTAAAAACGAATTACCTAAAATGAGATGCACAATTAGACATTGAATGAATCAATGCTTACCAAGCTTTACTTCAGCATTGTCAGTCAACAAAACATTTTGTCCTTTAATATCTCTGTGTATTACTTTGTTTGAGTGCAAATAGCTGAGACCACGAAGAATTTCCCTGCAGATGTATGATATCCATTCTTCTTTCAGAGATTGCCCCTTGGTAGACTTCACCAAGTCAGTCACAGAGCCTGTAAAATATTAAGTGTTTGTTATTAGATCTGAGTAAATTAATTTTAAAACTATGAATTAAATGGAAAATGTGGGTGTATAGACAGAGTCTTCTCTTGGTGCACGTCAGTAACAGCTAGGCACGGTAACATGGTGCCTAGATTGGCTGATCTTAGATGCTTTAACTAAAGAGATTCACTCAGACATGACAACAGTCTTTTTCAAAGCCTTCATTTCTAAAACCAGTTCTGAAAGGTTGCAACATACTACTCAAAGTCAAAATAAAAGAAGCATCAAAACAACAAAGTAAGTAAGGACATGGAAAGCGCGGAAAAATCTAGAAGGACATCTCTGCTGTCCGTTAACTAAAATGTGGCTAAATGACAAAATATTTTTTTGAGATATCTTAAAAAACCATAACCCAGTTTCAGAATATTGAAATTGTTTAATGATATTTCAGCTATGCATCGTTAGGGTAAGTTCCGATAAGTCAAACACGTTAACTAATTTTAACTGTTTTTAAAAAAGAATTTTGTGCACTATTTTTTGCTATTTAAAATGGTTATTTGTCCATTTTTCACTTCGCCGCGTTTTAATTAGTGGATGGCAGATCTAGTGGTTACTCTAGTAGGCAAATTAAAAGAAAGCAAGCTACCGAATCGATACCAGAAATTAACACTATGCTAATTCGAATTTTGTCGACTTTGCATTCTTAATGCAAAATTATTCCGCTAATTAAATTCAAAATTAAGAAAATAATACAAAAAGTAATAATCATACATTTGTTTTATGATCTATGATAAATAACTTGTAGTAAAAAAATTACTGTACATAATGTTTTCAAAGCTCTTTTTTAGGCTATGGTGAAAAATTGCAATTTTTGATGGCCTAGTGCTAACAGCTGGTGTCGAAATCTTCACAGTGCACAGTTTCTTGCCTCTGTGACCAAGTGTGCAAAACATCTCCCAGTATAATACCACATGCTTATGTCCATATTAGTATTTACTTTTCAAATGTAGCATTAAAGTAGCATAGCTTAGAAAGTACATAACCTTCTTAAAACATGGCAACTATAACTTAATCTCCATCAGTTAAGTGGACCTTGAATTGTAAATAAGTATGCAGTTAGATTTCTTTTTAAAATTATTAACAGCAGGAAATTTCCGTGACTTTAGCATAATAAGTGTAATAAAATCTACATAATGTCTAGGAATGTATATTTGCTCAACAATGGTCATATATACCAATTAGATGTTTCAGCTGCAGCTGAGAAAGAAAACATTCTGAAGAACTTCAATAGAAAAAAGATATGACATGCACAAACATCCTTAGTTACTATTATTTTTTTACAAAAATAAGATCTTTGTGTAACAAAATTATCAATCAATATGCTCACCAGCTCCACAGTACTCCATAACCAGCCAAAGTTGATCATCTTTTCCAGGAGGACTCTTCTTGATGAAGGCTCCATAATAAGTGGCAATGTTACGATGGTTGGAATACTTTTTCAACACATTAATTTCAAGCTTTATCTCTTCCTCTTCATCCTGTGTGACATCCATAACTTTGATGGCAGCAAGTTGCCCTGTTTTGGTGTGCCGGCCCTACAATTTGGAAATTATAAGCCACTCTGTTTGAAGATTACTAAAGTTAACATGACTAAGTAAAATAATAATAGCTACTTAGTTATCAGACAATAATATATAAAAGTATATTACAACTTCCTATCCATTGGAGATCTACTTCAACTTCCAGAACATATTACACATTCAAAACAATACTGTCACTATTTAAAAATCTCACTTTTTTCAAATTTACATTTATTTTCATAAACCTTAAACTCCATTATCCAAAAGCTGACTTTTTTTGTTGACAGTATAGATTTAAGCATGCAACGTACTAGATTTAATTTCAGTGTTCATTGTGCAACATTATTAGATCACTTCACTTTTGTTGTAGGCAGACAGATATCAATTAAGTTCATTGACATTTAGCCTGCTCTCTAATTGTAATACTCAATGAAACCCATCATAGTTACCTACTAAGACTTTGTTTCTACTAAAATACTGCATATCTACATACAAGTAGGTAGGCAAGCCACAAAGTGTACAAAGAGTTCATTGATCACTGTAAAGGAGCTCTAATTTGCAGGCAAGTATACATAATGAATAATTATCCTATCAATATAGATTCTTTCACACAAAATCATAATTAAACTTTCGAATTTTAAATTAGGTTTCTACGTTTCTCTTCTGAACGAGATTCTAACTATTTTAGGATTATGTATAATATGCGAACGATGATATGTAGCAAGCACAGTCTCCTATTAGTATGGAAGTAGATAATAAGTAAGCAATAACAAACCTTGTACACTTGACCATAAGTGCCATTTCCAACAACTTCAATGAGTTCAAATATACCCGCCGGGTCCTGAAAGAACGAAATTCGTTGCAATCACAGAGAAAAAGACGAATAAAATCCTTTTTACTGTAACTTTATTATGAATCACGCCCTGCAAGTGTAGGATCATTGCCCTGTCAGTGGGACTGTTTTTGATAAAAGGTAAAGGACATTAGGTACTTAAATGTAAAAGACTGTGGTGTTTATGAATTCGATTAGTTGTTTAGCTTACCTTTAACGCGCTGAGGTCAATGTCGTCCAGTGAACAATTCACAGACGGTGCAAGTTGATGCGCCATTTTGAGTATATTGTCACACACGAAGACAAAGCACGAGAACCTCACATCAAAGCGAAATACGTAAAAAAACTCGTAGTTTGTGACATTGGCAAAGAGATTATATCAGTCTAATTATAATAACGTTATATTATTTATATTATACATTGTTTACAATTGAAATTAAAGTAATTTACAGCTACACAATCCGTCTGTCGCACACACCCGGCGGGGATACCAACATTATTTCTAAAAACACAACTATATCATATCATAGTAGTTCGTAACTTTGGTAATTAACGAGGTAAGTTTTATTTAGAACTAAAAAAAATTACAGATGTTTGTTTGTAGAATGGATGAGCTGTAGAGTAATTCCAATAAAATGTTTTATTTTAATACATATTTCTACTAGTTCATTGGTAACTAATAAATAGTAACACAGAGCAGAACATTTTAATTTTCTAATTAGGCACATTTTTGGAAATGATAAACAAACTGGAATGCTAAAAATTGATAGCCTATAATTTTATGCCTTATTGCCTTTTAAAAATAAATTAATAGTATTTTAAAAGTAATATATCTGTGCTAAGAGAATAGTCATAGGGCGAACCATCTATTAAACTCTAGAAGCAAGTAATATTAAACGTTGTGCATAGATGGCATTACGTGTACACACAATACTGTTAATTATGTATAAATTCTACCAAACAGTATGTTTAGATAAAAGTTATTAGTTTTATAAAAAAGAGAACCAGATGTTTGGGAAATATTTGACTCATTTCGATAATAACTTCTTAATAACAAAATTTATTTTATACAGTCATTAGAATACACAACTTTGAACTTTGAAACATCCGTGTGTTAAGCACTAGAGTTTACCATAAACCTGAGGAGCTCACCTATTTCTGCCGCCAAGTAGTAATATGAGCATTATTGCGTTCCCGTTTTGAACAGTAAGGGTCTTGGTGAAATTACAGGCACATGATACTTGTCTACTTATGTCTCATGGTGATGGACGCACTGGCAGTGCCCCTCAGATCTTTATGATTTAAAGTTAAAGCTCTGAATGGCACTGCAACTGTTATGTTAACCAGACACGACTTGTTTTGTCCCTTCGCTTGATAGGATCTTAAAAAAATAATATATATTTCTACGTATTTAGTAGTTGTTTACCTATACGAAGAGTAGTTGAAAGTTCTCAATGATAAATGGAGTTATTTCATGCAATTGTCACAAGAGCAACACGTAGTATACTCGTATATAGTTACATATTTTTATTTTACGGGGTTACAATACGGAAACTTGTGAGGACCCGACTTAAATGGCGAGAAAGAAATCAGCTATTACCTATTCCATTTCATAACACAACTCAAACAATATGTTTAAGCTAAAGTAATTACAAGTTAGAACTTCGATTAGCACTTCCATAGTGCTAATCGAAGTTGCTTGATGAATTGATTCCTAAAAAAGTTTAAATCGATCTTAGTTCCCTGATTTCGTCAGGGTATGCTAGGGCTCCCTGGATTAATTTCATTACCCTGGTACATATCGCATCCCCTAATTTGAGACCAGGTAATTGATGATGAGTGGCATGCCACATTAATACAAAAAAAGGAAGAAAATGTATGCTCTCTTACGAAATTATTCGTATAATTTTTTATATAAGAATTTAATTCTTTATGATTTATTTTTAGAAAGAAAACACAAAGAATCATTTAATTTTTATCAGATATTTAGCTGCGATTCTAAACATTATTGGTATATACGTATTTTATACATTGACATTACTGAGAAGAAAAAGCTCACACGGTCCGACTGTTACCGTATAGTTTATTGCAAAAGTCGTTTTTCGAACACCGGTTTTTATTCTAAAAACCTATAGTTGTAATTATTTAAAATCTCATAGTAGACCTCCCGAGTGGGATATAATACTAAATCTATGGATATAAGCATAGTCATGGAAAAAATATTTTTTTTTAAATTTGCATATATTTTATGCGCATAAAATGTAATAAAAATATATATAACACCTTAGAATAATAACGCATAGAATGATAGTTTCATATCAAATGAACTATCACAAGTGAGGCAAAAATCAAATTCATGTAGGCTAGTTTTAGTAGTAGGTTAATTTTCGGTTTTAGTCAATATTTATATAAAAATACAAGTTGAAACGCGTTACTTCCTTGTGGAATGTGATGTTAGCATGTATTTTATGTTTGTCTGACGTATTTTTACACTAATTTACCGCACATTTCGTCATTTTTAGCTAAAATTATTAAGCTGTTCGCGGTGCAAGTTGACCTTGAGCACTGAAGGCCCGCCCGCTCGTGTGGGCCCATTGGGCGCGCTTCAATTTGCCTCACTTAGCGTGTGCGGACTAGGTTTCTATGCGTTATTATTCTAAGTATAACACTAAAATTGAAGCCCTTTAATAACATGCGTAATTTGAAAAGTTCCACTAAGACTTTTTTAGTCACAATCTTTATTAATTAATTTATCTCGAAAATTCCGCCGCATTTGATAAAAAATTTGATTTAACTTCAACTTTAGAGTCCATGTTTTGGATTCGTTTTATTGTGAGGAAATGAAGACATATTTTTCATTTCCTCTTCGGACTTTAATAATGATGCGAATATTTCTACAAATTACGGTAGAGGTACCTCGGCTTTGCTCTGGAGTCGAAATTTAACTGGAAGTGCCATATTGACAAACTGTGTAGACAGACTGAATGGTGTAGTCTTTGCAGTCGTTGCGTAAACTAAATTTGCTCATTTCTGACTCTGCATTATGACAGATCTATTTTACACATTTTCACTCGCTGATGTGGTACGATTTACTCACATGGGGTAACTCCACGAATGCCAATAGAGTGATGTTAATGTGTGTTTAATTAAAAAAACAGTGCCGTACTCGCATTGGTTGGGGTCAAACCCAGACACTCCTGCAAAAATTTCTTTATAACGCAACGCCTAACGACGCACTACTCGCTTACTTATATGAAATTATACACTGTACTTATATGAAAATACACTCGCGAGCAACCAAATCGACTCAAGCGCTACCTCTACATTCAAACATTGTTCTATATAAAAGTATACAACATTTCAATAAAAATAATATGCCATTTGAAAGCTTGAAACTTCAGCTTTTAGGAAATGTCGTCATTATTAATATCCATGTATACTTTTTTTTATTACCGGTGTCTGAACTTAAATGGGAGAAAAATGGGATTTTGGGTAAAGGAGTTTGACACAAATAAAACACGTTTTTTTCTTAAGAAGTATAAAATTTATTAATTCAATATTTGGTATTGCCTCCCCTAGCCCTAATTACAGCACGTAATCGATTCTTCATCGATCTTATTAGTTTTTTGACGTTGTCTTGAGGAATACCTTCCCACTCCTCTAATAAAGTTGCCTTCAGTTCTTCCAGGCTCGAAGGAGCTGGATTTCTTGCTCGTACCCTTCGTTTGAGCTCGTCCCATAAATGTTCGATGGGATTTAGGTCTGGACTTAGCGCAGGCCAGTCCATTGTGCGCAAATCGACTTCTTGAAGGAACTCCTGAGTAACGCGCGCTGTGTGGCATCGAGCATTGTCGTGCATTAGGATGAAGTCTTCACCAACAAATCCTGCGTAGGGCACAACATGTTCCAGGAGAATATTTGTGATGTACCCATCAGCTCCCAGTCCCGCTCCTCGGCCTCCTCCAGGCACGAAAACGAGCTCGGTTTTACCCTCCAACGAGATACCAGCCCACATCATGCAAGAACCGCCACCATAGGCAACGGTTTCTGCGAAACAGCATTGGGCAAATCGCTCTCCCGGACGCCTGTAGACCCGGCCTCTCCTGTCACTGCCATGCAGACACATCCTGCACTCGTCAGTGAAGAGGACCGACCGCCATTGCCCAAAGCTCCAGTTAAGATGCTCTCGAGCAAACTGTAGCCGAGCTTGCCGGTGGCCTGCAGTCAATTTGGGGCCTGTTGCAGGCCTTTTTGGAGACAGATTGGCTTCCTTCAGACGTCTTCTTACTGTCCACTCACTGACAGCTACGCCTCGAACACGTCTCAGCTCGCCCTGCACGTCGACACCCGTAAGGTGCCGATTTCGCAGGGTGGTTGAGACAATGAAACGGTCGTCTCCTTCAGAAGTACAACGGTGGCGGCTGGTTGTTGGTCTCCGAGTGAATGCTCCGGTCTCTTGATACCGTCGGTATACTCGGGATACAGCAGATTGACTCAAGTGAAGCTGGGAAGCCACTACTCGCTGACTGAGTCCTTGTTGCAATAAGGCAACAACTTGAGCGGCTTCTTGAGGTGTGGTATCCATGGTTTCTTGAAAACAATGAATGCAGGTTGCGGAGATGTGTATCGGTCAACTGTTGATAAGCGACTGATAAGGATTCAAGGGTCACGGGGGTTTTTATAGGGGTAGAGGGTAGCGCAACTAGCAGGTAGCGTAGGTAGTAATTAGTCCCATTCTCCCTAATTGCGCAAATGAACATGTTGGTACTTGTTTTATTTATTGGTATTGATGTTTTTTTAAAGCTTAGGTTTCAAGCTTTCAAATGGCATATTATTTTTATTGAAATGTTGTATACTTTTATATAGAACAATGTTTGAATGTAGAGGTAGCGCTTGAGTCGATTTGGTTGCTCGCGAGTGTATAATGTATGTTACAAATAGGTTTTCTTAATTTACTACCGTAAATGCTTCTGGCATCCCCCTCCGCCGCGTTTGAGAACAATCCCACGACGTATGGCATTTGCAGAGAAAAATCTGCGTGTCATCGGACCCAATTATCATGAGCATCTGCCCGCTACTCTGAGGGTCGTATTCCAGAACTCTACTCAATACTCAAGTCCTGACTTGAGTATTGAGTAGAGTTCTGGAATACGACCCTTAGACTTGAACCACCTAATACTTAATCAATTAAAAATTTCAATTATAAAACCTATACATAAAAAAGGTGACAAAACTGACCCTAGTATGTATCGACCCATAGCTCTTTTACCGGTAATTTCTAAAATTTTCGAAAAAGCAATGTCTAATAGATTTATGTCTATAGATTCTCCTAAAAAAACTTTATGACAGTGGTGTTCGAGGTGATGCCTTTAGATGGTTATACTCCTACTTAGAAAATAGAATACAGTACGTACAAGTCGAGAGTCAAAACACAAATACGGGAGAAACAATTACATATAGATCAGATAAAATTTATATAAACTCA